ATTGATCAAGACTAGTATAAAATTAGATACTGAAAGAATTCAAGAATTGAATCACTGCGATTTGCAAGCATTTGACCAAGTAAATGAATCTGACCATAAATGTTCGGGAAAAAAAAAACTTCAGGTAAGCTGTCACTTCAAGTTTGATATGACTTATTGATTCCTTTTGGTATCTTTCACAGACATCCCAGTTCAAGAGAGGTGGCGGAACAATGTGTTTATCCAGTGACTCCGTATGGAACGCTTTTAACTCCCTAATCAAATCTGTGCAGAACTGTCCAAAAACATGTATAGAATCATTTGATTTGTCTTAATACATGTAATCATTTCACTGTTTAAAACGGCATTGGGATTGATGCGTGTAATCTTTTTTTCTGAATCTTTAAAAGTGAAAAAGGGTGTTTATCTCCGAGAGGCATTTTGAAACCAACTTCGAGGATAAAATTTTGCATGATGGCTACACGGAGGGCTAGTGAAGAAATGAATGTTTGATCTTAATCGGGAAGAGTAAAGATAGTGTCGAATTTGACAAAAATATTGTCCTGATCTTGCTCTTGCACAGAGCTATTAGAAGTTGTACACATGTAGTGCACTAAACTTGCAGGGTTAAAATCTCTCATGCTACTGTGGATAAATGTACCGTAACTTCATACTAAGGATGGTAATCAGTGTGCAACCGATGAACCGGTTACTCGGTCAGAACGATGGTATCGCTAACCGATGAATAGGTTACTCGGTCAGAACGATGGCAATCGTTTGCAAATGGTGTAATCGGTTTACACTCAAACAAATTTTAATATGTGTATAATTGAACTCAATTATTTCATCAGCATATTAATTTGAAATTCAATTTTAAAAGCTTTAAAAGTTAATGTTAACTAGTGTATTCAAATCTTATAAATCAATTTGGGGATTGAGATCGTTGGGGTAAAAGGTCAGAGTATATCTTTTATATGTGATGATGATGATGACAATACAGAATAAATATGTTATCCCCTCACAACGGAGTTGGAGGGGATATAGTAACGCGCTTAATAATTATTATTATTGTTATTATTGTTGTTATTATTATTATTTTTTTTAATTTATTAATTTATAAAGCGCAAAATTACATATAGTTTCTATGCGCTGTACAATGTTTTTGCTAACAATTAATGACAATATACCAATAAAAGACCTATCATGGCTATGATAAAATTATTATGGAAAGTAAATGATCGAAAGGCCTTTAACAAAACATGGTAGTAAGATGAAAATTAGTGAACTTAGACTAGGCAAGATAAAAAAAAAATAACTGACACACAGGTAGTTGTATTCATATGTTAGTACTGGATTGAAGTTGAGTTTGCAAGAGATTACACATAGGTTCCTTGACGTTATTATTTTACATTCACAGGGCATATTCATGCTTGAACAAGAGTGTTTTAGGTTCTTGCGGAATGCTCCATGTGCTTCAAGCTATCGAAGTTCCAATGGCAGGTTATTCCACAATTGTGCACCCAGTGTGTTTATGGTTCTTGCACCGTATTTGTTTAATGATTTCTTTACTACCTGTTTCCATTTGTCAGATGATGATCTCAAGGTCCTATGTGGCTGGTAAACAGGACATAACTCTCTCATATATGCTGGTGCTGAGGGGGAGTGTAGTGACTAGTGTATGGCTGTCAGCACTTCAAACAAAACACGTTGTTTTACAGGCAGCCAGTGGAGTTGTTGAAGTATTGGCGAGTTATGTTGTCTGCTCATGTTCTTATGAGACAACATGCAGCGTTGTTCTGAGCCACTTGTAATCAGTGCATGGTTCGATCGGTTATGCCAAGCAGAAGGGCATTGTGATAGTCAAGGTGTGATATGACTGTTGCATTGATGACCTTTGCACACGCTTCCCGAGTGAGATGTTGTTTCACCTTGGAGATTCTCCTAATGTTGAAGTACATCTTTCTTACCAGGTACACCAGGAAGAGAAGGGGGCCAATAACAGACCCTTGAGGCACTCCAGTGGACAGTGGCACATCTGAGGACACACTGGTGTTAATCTTTACTACTTGCGTGCGGCCACTCAAGTAAGACTGTACCCAACGGAGTGCTGTGTCCGTCAGGCCAACTTCGTCATGTAGTCTCTCCAGCAAGAGTGTATGATCAATGGTGTCAAATGCTGCACTCAGGTTGAGAAGGACCAGGAGCACGGCGTCACCTTCATCCAGCACTGCTTCTACGTCTGCTTTTATTCGCAGGATGGCTGTCTCAATGCTGGTACCGGACTTGTAAGCTGATTGTAGGTCATCATGCAGACCATTCCTGGTAACATGACTATTAAGCTATTGTGCAACAATGCGTTCGATGACCTTGCTGATGAAAGGAATATTTGAGACTGGTCTATAGTTAGTAAAGATATTCATATCCAGTCAAGGCTTTTTAAGACGTGGTGTAACTAGTGCACGTTTCAGCTTATTTGGAAAGACCCCGGTTGAAAGTGATGTATTCACCAGCTCAGTATGGTCAGCAGCACCACAGAAAGAACAGTACTGTTCTTCAAGAGCGCAGTGGGGATGGCATCCAGTGAGCAGATCTTGTTTGCATAGCTATTGATGACTTTGTTTACTTTATGCGTCTGGACCTTGAAGCAGCCAAGTTAAGGCACCAGTCTGTCCAGATCTGGAGTGTGAGTGGCTTAGTTTGTCCTTGTGTGCGAAACGGAAGTGAGGTGATTTGCATCGGGATCGATGTAGAATGTTGTCTTGGTTTATAGATATGGTAGCTAAACACAGTTTCGTATAAAATCTAGGGGGGGGGGGGTCTCTCAGAGAAAAATGGGTATGATGCGTAGGGATTTTCCCTGCTTTTTCTATGCAGTGTACATGGAAATTGCAGCTTTTTAAATTTTTATTTGCATAGATTAGAGTTTTATCTTAAGATTAAATGAAAAAAGTATACAAATATTTTTTTTGAGAATTAATTTTTCTGTGACTTTTTAATAGTGGGAGATAACTCTAAAAATACCCATTTTTCACACGTGCAGAATTGCATGATTTGAGTAGCAGGTAAAGTAGCTCTTTAAAGAGCTGGAAAATGTACCCTAAAAGTACAACAAAAAGAAATCTAAGGACTTGTTCTGTGAAATGCATAGCACTTATATTTTCTGATTTCTGTGCCGTTTGTGATCAAGGGAGCTAAAATGCATAGGTGTACTACAATTAGACGCATAAACTTCCCCATTTTCCCTCATGTTTCATGTGTCATATACACCCTATTAGTTAGTGATAAATGCAATATATTTATATATTTATAAAATTCACCATTTTATCTTTCTATTGTTATATAGATACCTACGTAACAAGTCTTCATATTATTTCTTTATGGGGGTCACTTTAGCATAACCCCCATTTAGTAATGTCATGATAACGTCATACATAAAACTGTGTTTTGCACCCTATGCTCCTTTCCGAGGGGATGCTCTGCTTTGCATTACATACCCTTGTTTCATCTTGGTATGAATTTTTTTATCTGATATATTTGGCAAACCATTTCTTTTTACCTTTTGTGTACGTGAATAGAGAAGAAGAAAATAAAAGATATCAATATGCAAATAAAAGGGATATTTTGATACGATTAAATGGTTAATCACTCGAAATGTTAACCATTTGCAATTTTGTATTCGGTTGACGTGCCATGTTATTATTTGTTTATGTAATGGAATTAAAAAATTGCATTTATGCTGTATTTTTTTTTATTTCAGATATATTTCAAGGTTTCTTGAAGCCGACTGCAATACAACAATATCAATATATAACAATGACAATACATAATATATGTAATAGATTTGCCAAATCATAAGTCCGTCGCTAAGAGCATAGTATACAAACTAATAACAATCCATGCAGTTAATGATAATTTCGTGCAGCACATTTGAACATCAGCTGAGGGTATACCAAAGTACGATGCATAAGGAACAATTTAAATTCGCAATTTTGGTACTCTCCTTATAGTTACCATCATGGGGTTTTCAAATTGCTTACATGTTATAATAAATAAGGAAGTTACATTTCCTGTATTTTTAGAAAATTATCATTTGATTTTAGTGCAATAATATATAATCTACTTAAGATCAAATACCAATAATTATATAAATGATTGCTCTCAATTGCTTATGATCACTATTTTACTTTTAAAATAGTAAATTTTTGACGAGACGTTGAATTTTCTTAAATAGAACAATGTTAATTCATCTTTCATTTTCCTTAGTCCTATCTAATTTCTTTCTAAAATCCGCCTTGAATCAAGATCATAACACACATAAGCACTTTGCAATTGGATTTTGATATGTCATAGCCAAAATCACATGACATTGCAGTAAGATCATGGCGTATCGTCACGTCATGATTAAAAATATACCGAGTAGTTTGTGTAAAATCTAGATTTAAAAATTTATACCCCAAAAATTGTCACTTTTAAAGCTAAATTCTGCTAATCTGAAATAAATGATTTTTTTTAAAAAATGATATATTTCTTTTTTATCTTGCCTTGCAAAAGAACACCATCTAAAGAATTTTACTCGGTGTTTTGCGTGTCTGTTATTTAAATGTGGAGTCGGTAAATAAATCGGTTTTTGTTTTAAATTCTTGATATCTTTGAAACGCGATTGATTCAAATTTTGTTATTTAAAGAAAAGTTCTATCTTTATAAAAAATAATAAAACAAATAGAAAGATCTTTTAAATTTTGGTTATCTGAACGTAAAAAAAATACGCCATATATGGCTTAAGACAAATTAACTGCCATGTTTCACTAGAAAATTACCATCCAATTTTTAAAAAAATTATGTAAGGTCCTTATGGTAATATTGAAGTACTCACGACGAGGAATTACCGAAAAAATAATCATCAAAAAGATTGGTATCCGTGATCATGTATTTTGCATTAATAGCTTCCGTGTAATTGCAATAAAAAGTTGATTTTTCCAGGAAAAAATGTTAAACAGTTTATGATACACACAAGTTATAGTATGACCTGTGGAAACTCTCCAGTACGACTCAGTATGGGTACATTTGTGTTAATCCTTATGGGCACACTATTGTCGATGATCATGACACTCTGCTTCTGTTTGAATTGTGTGTCACCATCCGGAAAACCTGTAGACTGGTAAGGCATCGGACATTTTTATACCCACATTTTCTAAATTTATGGAAGTTCCGGAAAATTGTCGTTATCCTAGTCCGTCTGAATGTCTGTCTGTCACACTATGTTCTACCTCAAACTAATCTTACATTTTAAGCAGTAACCAACTCATCTTTTGGAATATCATTCCAGATGTGCTTAAACATGTGCAAACAGATGTTGAAATTCTCATCTTTATCCCGGGGACCACAACTGGGTCCAAAGCAAGTTTTCTACAAAAATCTGTTTCCCTGAATCCCTCTTACGCTCTTACATTTTTCACAATAGCCTAATCATACATTTGAATAAGTCTTGGCGTGCCCTGCATATGAGCATTTAGGAATCAGAATTTCGATTTTAATTCCTCATGGGGTAAATCTGGGACTGAAAACAGACTTTTGTAAATTATAGAATTATTGTGGCTTCTTCCCTTGTTCCTCAAATATGAAGGTGGGTACTTTTATAGACAAACACCTCATGCGGGTGATGCTGTCTTACAACAGCATTTAATTTATATTTGCAAAATTGCTTTTTTAATAAGTGTATCTTTAAACCTTCAAAACTGTTTACCTATGTGTAGCTAACTATATTGAATCTTTTAAAAATGCAAATATCTACTGCTCTAAATTGCATACTCTTCTGTTTATAGGTATATAATTTACAAAGTTCCTAAAGCTACGAGGGAAATGCCAATTAAGACAACGGGAGAAGAGTTTTATTATCTGGACGCTCTCAATCCTGTCTTTTCCTATATAAAAGACAATATACAGGAGAAGCAAAATAATCCTTTATTTAATACTCTTCAGCAAATATATGACGGAGTAAGTACATGAAGTGTTCAAGTAACTCTCTCTCTCTCCCTCTCTCTCTCACCCCAGCTCTTTAGGCCTTAAAGAAATTTATTCTTGGTGACAGAGAAAACAGATGTTTTGTTTTAAAAGTACTAATCACAAAAAATAATTATTCATGATTCCTCAGTTTGGAACCATCTGCAATCATTTTATTTCGAGGATATCACGGAAATATTTTACACAAGTACACTGTACATAATTTAACAATTAGTTCAAGGCAAAATATATTTGTGATAAGTAGCCCTCCAAGGTCGAGAAACTCACAGATATTTCTTGAATACAAATAAATATTGGTTCACACTAAATATCATTCAAATATTGGTTTGTACCATTTCTACTCAGTGATATGATTTGATTCATTTTTTACTGCTGCCCATTTCTTTATATCTGGGCTTGTTGGTATCAAAATTTATAATTTCTCAAACCCAAATGCCTTTTTTACATTTACATGTTTAAGTGTTAGGAAGCTGTATTACTCACAAGGAAGTTGAAACACTTTTATGAATTTCAATGTACGAGGGTTGTTCGGAAAGTTCGTGGACTACCGTCATAACTCTTTTACTTAACGTCATATTATAGCCAAATTTGGAAGAAATATTTCAACAGTAAATTCAAATGATGTGTATTAATTCTTTTCAAAATATCATGGTTTATTTTAAACTTATTTAGACTTTTAAAAATGCGAAAATCGGATCACGGAGCAGGTCAGAATTTGGTAATTTACAATTAAGACACTAAATAATGTCTAAAGTCATATCTTCTGTAAAATGACACAAAAACGGAAAAATTCTATACGTTCAAATTCAGAATTGTTTCATCGTTCTGATTCCAAATTATGACTTAATATTTTGCTTCGTTGAAAAGAAATCAGTTTCAGAAGATAGGTAATTCTTATTGAAAAAGGCAACAAAAAAAGATGACGTCATAGAACGTCACGGCGCAGCAGTTAACCATACAATTTTGTGTTGTACTCTGGAAAACTCCAGAAAAAAAAACTCTGAAAATGCCGGAGGAAGTAGGAAATTTGTCATAAGCGAGTCATGTATGTGTGTACATGGTACAAGCGGCATTTGAAGGATATACTATACTCTGCTTAGACGATGGTGATCTGTGAGAAAACGGATTATCTGTAAAAATCTTATCAAAACATTGAAAAGATAGTAACGTCATGATGCTAAGAGTTTGGCGCTTCACAGATGCTGATCTTGTGAAAGCACACTTATGCAGTGAAAAAAATACAACATTGACAAACAAAATGATGCTACTGGAACAATTGTTAGCAAGATAGATTTCACGTGATAGAGAACATATTTAATGAGTGCACTGGTATTGGGCAATACTATGTGAAATGTATAGGGATAGTATTTTTGAGAACCTCATGTCGGTATGTTTTTGACGTTACAGTGTTGTTGAGTTTGCGCCATGGTTACAAAACGTGTTGATTTTTAAATTAAATAACATGAATTCTATTAAATCACATGGATTGAAATTTTACACTTAAACAAAATAAATATTTTTACATATGATAATATGCACATTTTAAATTTTTTGAAGATAGTATAACGAAGAATGGCATAGTCCACGAACTTTCCGAACAACCCTCGTATATTCCTAATACATTGTATATATAATATAAGCAGACTTTATTTAAAAATGATATGAAATTATTATTAAAGCGGACGATGTATATGACAACTCTTTCACAACATTTTCAACCTCATTTTCAAGGCCTGATATAGTTGATAAAAAGGAACATTTTTAGACATGAAAAGTTTGTATCATTCCTTTTCCATTAAAACGCCAGATAAAAATTAAAATAAAGCATTAAATCAATCACTGTATAAAAAGTTTCGTTATCTATCCCTTGTCTAATTCACTGTTCTTTTTTTAAATTTATTTATTACATATTTTATTTAACCATCCATTACTGTTTTACAAGGTATGAATAACTTTCTTCAATACATTTATATGCGTATGTAGCTAAATCAAGTCGAATTGAACATATATAACTTTATTTTTAAATCTTTTGAAGGATAAGCATTTATGGATGAATTTCAAAGATCTTAAGATGTGTGTTTATGATTCAAAAATATGTTTTCTCAGAAAGCACAGGTTTACGCCATGTACAACGACAATCCTCCACCCCACTATGAATATGGAAATACGACACTTATAAACCAAACATCTCAATGGATCTACCATATTGGTGCTCATATGAAAGGTCTTCCATTATTATCATTAACATTATTATCATTACAGTATAAAAACTTACAAGTTGTTGTTGAAACTGCTTAATTTCGAACACTTTCGTATTAAATGCTATTTTTATACAAACATGTAATTTGACTGGACGGAAGGCGTTATTAAATTAAATTTTCCTCTTAGAAGTTCATCCCAGTCCAAAAAAATCCAACCCAGAAATTTAATGACAATCAATCAAAAACAAAATAAGAGGCCCATAGGCAACATATCTCAACTGAAAACTTTGGCTAGAAATAGGCAGAAATAAATTCAGTATTGTTAAGTGATCCACCCCCCGGCAGAGGCAGGGAAGGGTGCATGATTTGAACGAACAAACAAACTTTAATCTACACTAACTAAGTTCTAGGATGCTTCCATATATATATATATATATATATGATTAATCGTTTTTACAGATTTTCACTACGTAGTCCTATGCAATAGTTTGATCTCATATTGTGCCCCTACCCCTGGGGGCATTAAATTAACAATCTTCAATTTACACTTACTGGGGGTGATTCCATATCGATATGATTAATCATGACTTTGCTGCTCTTGAGAAGAAGATTTTAAATGATTTTTTCTATATACTGCTATTTAAAACTTTGATCGCCCAATTTGACCCAACCCAACCCCTGGGGGTCATAAATTGAACAAACATGAATATACACAACATGAGAATGTTTTCTATTTATAAAATCACTGTGCATGACTTTCCTGTTCTTGAGGGGAAGATTTTCAAGATTTTCCTACATCACTTTATGTATAACTTTGATCCTCTATTGTGGCCCACCCTACTCCCGGGGGTCATGATTCGAACATATCTTAATCTACAGTGGTACCTTAGGATGCTTCTATATTAATGTGACTTATCTTGGCTTTGCTGGAAATGAGAAGAAGATATTTCCTATATATATTCCTTTGTATAACTTTGATCAACTGCTGTGGCCCGACCCTACCCCTGGGGTTCATTATTTGAGCAATCTTGAATCTACACTAACTGGGGATGATTCTACATCATAGACCTAGTAGTGTATCAGCCTTGATACAGGCGTTTTGGACTAGGTGAGACTGCTTCTGGGAACTAGGGCTGTCTCGCCCTCAGAGCTAAGCCCGTTGTCAAATAAATTTCAATCCATTATTTCTGTTAAATTCGTGTGAATTAAGAGTAAAATTTTTAGTAGAGTGTTAAGAAAAATATTTTGTTTGCGAAAATTAGATAAAAATCTTTTAAAAATATTTTTATGCTAGAATATCGAGAAAACTATTTTTAAAAAGAGTGCCAAATGATGGTACTTTTGACGTACCTAGTCCAAAATGCCTGTATCATGGCTGATACACTAATAGGTATATATATGATATAAACAACATCACACTACTGTTTTGATCTCTTCCCTGGTTTCAGCCCTCGGATGCTCTCCGTCCACGCCCTCCGGGCTTGGGCCGATACCAATCGCTCGGGCTGATACCAGGGCCGAGATCAAACAGCAGTGTGACATTTTATGCATATTAATATGACATATTCTGGCTTTGCCTGGCATGAGAAGATTTTTAAAGATCATATTTCCTTTATATTCCTGTGTATAACTTAGATCCCCTGTGGTGGCTCCGCCCTATGCCATGATTTGAACAAACTTGAATTTCAATTTGAAATGAAGCTTTCACAAAAGTTTCATTTTTTTCTTGCCTACTGGTTCTTGACAAGAAGATTTTTAAATGATGTCGATAAATTTTACTAGTTCTAATTATCTAGCTCCCCTTGACAGAGAGCATGGCCTTCTTGTGATCAAACTTGAATCCCCTGCATCCAAGGATGCTTTGTGACAAGTTTGGTTGAAATTAACCCACTAGTTCTGGAGAAGGTGAAATTGTGAAATGTTAACGTCAAAGCCGAAGACAATAACGAGAACGGAAGACTACGGACAATTTTTTAATATATATATATATATATATATATATATATATATATATATATACATACAAATATATATATATATATATATATATATATATATATATATATATATATATATATATATATATATATATATATATATATATATATATATATATATATTTGTGTGTGTGCGTGTGTTTATGTATGTATTAGACAAAATTTTCAATGCTTTAGGTGCTTATGCCTTTGATGAGAACGATGGATTTTGGTTAATTTCAAGTATACCGTGCTTTCCAGCTCCACAAAATCAAGGCTATAGTTACACAGACCATCAGCTCAAATATGCACAGAGCGTCCTATGTGTAACCCTTGACAAGAAGTATCTTACAGAAATGAGTAATATGTGCATATATTTTATACATATATAGCTTTTTTATGATGTCAACCCATAGATATATCGACATCACAAAAAGCCTATCGGCTAGAACGAAGTCCGAAGTAAATATATTATTATGAAGTCGAAAAGTCTATGGATGAATTGACGAATAAAAAGGCTACATTTGTCATGTTCTTTTCGGATTAAATAAAAGACAAATTGATTCACTGAATTAAAATTTGTTAAATTTCAATGAATACCCACAATGTTTGATTTTTTTCACTAGTAAGTTTTATTAACTCGAATTCTCGAATCAATATCGTTAATTACATGTAAAATTTTGCATGGGACATTAGAGACCAGACGATTAATAAAAACGGAGAAATTACTAGCTAAGGATATTTGTAAAAGACTTGTATTTTGATATTTTTTTTAAAGTAATCTGTTAAAGGCTAAAACATGTGTACTTTATTTATATTTATGTTGGGGTTTACATATTTATTTATTGGGTGGGTGGGTGTAGTATTGAAACTTGATTAATATATCAATTTTACATTCTTTTAGGTGATCCAACGATTTAACTGATATTTGATTACAATTGAAATCTTTTTTCACTACCTAAAGGACTTTTTTAAATCAATTTACTTTTTAATCTTTAAAGGGGCATGGACACAGATCTTAAGTTAATATTTTCTCAAATGTTCTGTATAATATCATGACTTAATATATGTTGCTAAAGCATTTCACACGGAAAATATATTTGAAAACTTATTTTGTATGATATTATAGAGAAAATTTGAGAAAATAATTACTTCACATATATGCCCAGGCCCCTTTAAACGTAAAACAAATGGATTAGTCTATTTCAGAGAAAACATTTTATCTCACAAAGCCTATATTTTATGATGGCAGTAAACCTGACTTTCAAAAATTACATCACAGCAGCAAAACAGATAAAACTTCTACTGTCGTTCCTTTCACGTCAAAGGGAGAGCAAAAGTTTTTATTATTTGCGAAATCAGATTACTTTGGAAGAGGTAAGATTATGTTAATGATTATAAATTGGTGTATTATGTACGGAAGCATATTAGTACCACGTTAATTTTTTTTTTTTTTTTTTTTTTTTTTTTTTGAAGTTGGTTATTCCAACTTTAAAGTTGGTAATTCCAACTATATTCTTCATTTTTCCAACTTTAATCCTGGCTGTTTCAACTTTAAAGTTAGTAATTCTAACTTTATAGTTTGTAATTAAAACTTAAATCTTAGCTTTTCCAACTTTAAGGGTAAAATTCCAACTTTGAAGTTTGCTTTTCCAACTTTATTGTTAGTAATTCAAACTTTAATCTTGGTCTTTCCAACTTTAAAGTTTGCTTTGCAAACTTTAAAGTAGGTAATTCTAGCTTTTATCTTGGTTTTTCCAACTTGAAAGGTTTTATTGCAGTTTTAAAATTTAATTGTTAATGTAAATCACACAGACTTGTCACGTTAGCGTATTTTGTGAAGCGCGATGTAGCAGATTTCTCTGTGTACGTTGAAAAGGTATTCAAATCGAAATAATATCTTCAGTTTTTAACTCTATCGAAGCAGCAACATGATATACGTTTGTCTGAAATAAAAGATGACAAATCAAATTGTATCATGTTGCATTGTGAAAGCGAGTTTCTACGTCTTCGCCGCGTTTCACTCGCTATCGTCGCTGCTATTTTAAAATGTTGACAGATTTTTCGGATTTTCTCTTGCTGACAGTTTAAACATATAAGGTTGGATATCCGATTTCATATCGACAAAATCAGTAATTTGGCCGTCAATAACGCAGAAAACCCAGGTTGTATCACGTATATTTTAGTAAGATGAGCGTAAAGAGCTGATCAGCCATTATCGCCTTTGAAGCCACAGGGTCATGTGATCGCTATCTAATTAACTCGGATTTTTGATTCAGGGGTTTTCATTTGTGTCAATAATTGTTTAATTACCGCGGTTTATCCCAATAAAACAAGACATTTATAAACTGTGATCATAAGGAAGGTAAAATGCTTTTAATTTCACAAAATTGAGAAACATGCGATAAGTCCTTTAAGAAGGAGATTAGTGCAAACAACTTGATTAGTATATGAATATTATATAAAATCAATAAAAATATCAATGATCTCTCTCTCTCTCTCTCTCTCTCTCTCTCTCTCTCTCTCTCTCTCTCTCTTTCCAGTAAAACATATTTTAAACAATACTTTTGGCGCTAAATGTTCGCAGCATACATCGTCTCCCACAATATGTACCAATTTTGATGCAAGGTACACTTTGTCGCCCATTCTACAAAAAGAAAAAAAATGAAGAGATCATCTCGGCACTTATTGTTACTGCTGACCGTGTCAGTATGTGCCGATGGACGACAATGTCAGGGTGTAGTACCTAAACGGTTGCTATCGGAACAAAAACGCGTTCAATGTTTCTATTCGAAAAATGTACAGCAAATATATTAGAGACACTTAGAACAAGTTGTAATATTGCCAAAAAGTGACCCAAATCGGTTAAGTCTCGGAAAAATCCTCGTGCAAGGAACAAGTCAGGAATTTCTATAAATGATGCCATATGCTTTTTGCAGAATAACCGTCTAAAAATTCATATATATTAAATATTTCCGAAGCCTGTATCAATTTGCAAGTCAAAATACTCCAAGTTTTCATGCTTCTTTTTATCATTTATAGGTTAGATTGTGTTTATTTTGGTATGTGAAGATGTCTCACTCTATCATATACATAGATATAATAAAAACTATTTTTAAAAGTGTATTTTGAAAGAGATTTCTAGACGAAAGACGATATTCTTATTTTGAAAATTTAACTTGTCCAACCCAAAAGAAGAGGAAGTTGATAATTAAGACAACTATCCTTACATGTGTATCGCAGTTCCACCTTTTTTCATAAAGATAAAATGAATGAGTAAATGAATTCAATTAAGAAATAAATACCAAGTTTAAAAACTTCATTGGGAATTGAAGTGGGTCGGTCATGTGATCAAATCCTGTGAAGGCCGAAGGCCTTCTCAGAAGATTTGATCACGTACCGACCCACTTCAATTCCCATTGAAGTTTTTAAACTTGTTATTTATTACTTATATATACATTTGAGATGGACAATAGAATGTAATCGAATATAAATATTGCACTAACTGTACGTCGTAGATTTTGACAAATTACGCTAGGTGTAAATCGGCTTGAAAAGCGGTTACGCTTCAAATTCATCTGGCAAAGGATTCTGTTTTGAAGGGAATATTCTGTGAAAGGCTACTTTTGATCAATTATAGTGAGCATATTGGTGTCTATGGGAATTTTTGTATTCATGAGAACCCATATTCGATGTTAAAAAACACAAGAAACACGTCCGATGTTTGATAATAAAAAGTTGGAGGAATTTCGGTCGGAAAGGGATGGATGGAGACACTTGTCCGGACCAGATAACTTGAAATCAAGTACAAAATTTGATCAAAAACATAAAATCTACGATTTCAGTAAGGCATATTTATTAATTTATGATGTTGACATGGAGACACTGGCGACAGCTTACATTGTTAAGACGACGTCACAACGATCTCGATGAGTGCAGTGTTTGTCAGCTGTTTGTGGCGTGATTGCATTACATTGATATTTTTCAACAGATTTTCAAATTTATTGTGAGTAAAGTTTAATGAAAAAAAAAACAGCATTCAGAGGTCTGCGAGAAAAATAAGGGTAAACGTTGAGACTATGCAGCTCAGACATGAAACTTATAACATGTAGTTTTCTATTCTCTATGTAAAACCGATCAAAAACTGTATTAAATACTCGTTTACATTGTAAATAAAATGATTATTATTTTACTTGCGTATTTTGTACATTTTTATGCATGAAAAACATGCTATATTGCTTAGTGGAGTAAGTCTTTTTATGTAGATATTACTGCGCTGTGTGATTAGGTCACGTAATGACCTATGACCTTCGAAAAACTTCATACAGGTATATTTACATTTGCAAATGTTTTCTTTTATATAACACTGTTAAAAGCAACGCGTATCTATATCCGTATAAACACGGGTTCCTCGCGTCATAAACGTTCGACGTAATATCTCAGTGACGTCATAAAGGGTCGACGCGCAATCAATGGATCAAATACGTGCCGTTGAGTTTGAAAAAATAAAACGTTTCACGCGTTAAAGATTATAATCAGGAAAATATAAAATATGAATAAGTCATAAATGTAAATATAAGTAATAATGTATCATTTTTAAACATCTATCGGGATATAAATACGGGTTGGTACGGGATCAAATTTTCAATAAAGCCCTTCGGGCTTTATGGAATTTGATCTCGTGACCAACCCGTATTTATATCCCGATAGATGTTTAAAAATGATACATTATTTCTTAAATGAAGATATTTGCTCTCTGCATGTTTATATAATAGAGAGATACCACAAATGTATATATTCTTGATTATAATAGAGAGAGAGAGAGATAATCATATAAATATAATTATAGTTTTAACTAGTAATTTTTGATACGTTAATAGTTTCAATGTTTAAATATAGGAAATACATTTTTTTCTTACTATAAAATTACAGAAATAAATCAAAATATATAAAATGCAAAATTTAATCATTTTTCGTCATAATCTTTCCGTAGATTCTCCTTCTCCAAATTCACAATTATGATATAGACTATAGCAATTACGTAATTACCTTACCTGGACAAATTCCCGTTTTGCACACATTTTTTCAATACCTGAAATTCAAATGTGTGCAAAACGGGAACAACCCTAAATAGAAATTTAACACACAGTTTGAATTTACCTATTGATAGTCGTTGACTTTAAATTTATGGTAGTTTGACACACTGTATGTCAGATACCAACATTTTGAGATATTGTTTAGGATGATGAAAAAAATCAAGACATCCATTGTTTTGCATAAATATATCAGAAAGCTTAAAAGTGTAACACATGATTTATCGAGTTAACTTGCTCTTAATCACCTGTCACAAATGTCCCAGTGGAAAATATTTTCATTGTGACAGGAAAATCTTTAAAACCCGATAGATGTAGGTTAGGGGACACAATGTTAAAGAATTTCATTAACATTCAAACAATGTTAATGTAAAGAGAAAAAAGTAACTGAATCTGATATGAATATAACGAAACTTTCTTTGTTTCTTTTTCTTTTTTTTTTTTTTTGGACATAAGTTTCTAAACGTAATTTATAATTTAATTAATTACATTTGTAAAGTAATTGTAATTTAATTAATTACATTTCTAAGTCCCTGTAATGGTAATTTAATTGAAGGTTTTGGGCAATTAATTTGATTTAATTAATTACTTTTCTACGTTATTGACCCCATCCCTGATGCACCGTTTATAAACTGAAATAATGCACCGACTGCTATTTGAAAAATAATTTCTTGTCCGTTAAGAAAATATGGCTGCACAGACCTAAAAAATATATTATAAAAACATCTTAAACAGCATGTGAAGCATAATGTCTACAAATATAATTGACATTTACCAACTTAACTCGTATTTATCGTATCGTGCTCTGCCAAGTAGAGCTGATCTTCGAAAGGCACCACTATACAAAATCCAAAAGAAAGCTATACGAAGGAAACGAAAATTCAGTTTAAATGAATTCAAATGAAAGAATTTTTCCACCTTTCCAAAGCTTATCTTTATTGATTTTTTAGCCTACATAATAACATTTATACTTAGATTTAAATAATATCTAGAAAAATTTAAGTACATGTATAACCTTTGACATTTTTTTCCCCAAAGCATAGTAGTTGCATTGGTACGCTCTAGCTACAGAAAATATAATTAACACGCCATATTCATACCATCGGATCTTAACTGGAGAGGATGTCCGATCCTCCCTTTGGATTTTCTGAATCATTAAATTTATATAGACAAGACGAGACAACCCCCCTGCCGTCATGAAAGAAAGAGGTTTTTCAGATAGTGAAGTGTTCCACTTTTCTGCTTGTCAATTTTCTTAAATTTACTTCTATTTCTCTCCCTTTTTTGAATGGGCTTGGAACCCACCCCCCTTTTTTTGGAAAAAAAATTGTAGATTCGAATATGAAAAAGGCCTAATATATCCAGTAAGTAATATATATGTACATTTAAAGGAGCATTAAATTATTAACAGACATATGTAATCTTTTTCGAGGTAGAAATGGAGGGGGAGGGGAGAAAAATAATTGTGTGCAATTCCACTTTCGTTCTCATTTTCAATATATGTATATTTTTCGGACATTGGGAGTGGTTGACCATACTGTACATCAAAAATTGAAACTAACAAGCAAATTCAAAGAATTGTGGTCCCCCACTTTCGATGCCTTAGTGGATGAGAAGCGATTATTTATGGCATATTGTAACTGTCTTGTTTGTGTGTTCTGTCTTGTCTGTGCATTATACAAAAAAAAAACAAATTATTGAATTAATAACAGTTATGGCAAAGAATATAGCTTCTCAAAACTACATTAAACTTCAAAATCAAGGTCATGAGGTCAAATATCATGATAAAATCTGAAAGGTCTTGTCACAAGTAATGCACATGTGAAAAATTTTTTTTAATAAAAAACAGAGTATACAATAGGAAAGGTCTTGAAACCGGTAATGCACATGTTAAATGTAAATGCCATATCTTCTTCCAATTAGAAGTTATTAGCAATGTTAAAATTTTTGAAAATTAGGTCAAACTTCAAGGTCGAGGTCATGGGATTAAAACTCAAAGTACATTTGGAAATGCTTGTCACAGGTAATGTACGTGTCAAATATGAATGTCCTATCTTCGCTCCTTCAAACGTTAGTAACACTGATGAAATGTTTGAAAATTAGGTAAAACTTAAAGGTCAAGGTCACGGGGTCAAATAGCATGTTCGGAAACATTTTGACACAGGTAATAAACTTGTCAAATATGAACACCCTATCGTATGTCATTCAAAAGTAATCACCGTACAAGAGGGACAGTACTTTTGGTACATATACCATCACAGTCGTTATGGGGTTTGCATGCGTAAGAGTGTGCAAATTGTTGTGTGAAATTATATATTTGTATTTGTGAATTTTCATTCACAGTTATTGATGTGGGATAGGGTATAACTTTATGCCTTTATCAGTTTGACGTAAAGAAATCGTTTATTGATTTATCTCAGAAATGTGAAATTCTTACCCCATTCTTCCCCTTTAAAAATCTATGCATTGCCCTAAAAACTCTCCTCCTGCATACGTCAGACAGGACAAACATCACATGGCAAAAGATCTAGTTTAAAAAGCAGTAGATTAAATTGGAATCAGGTGACATAAAATTGGCTCACAAAAAGTTATATAGTACAAATAAGACGATAACAAAATAAAAGAACATAATATAGTAAACGACTTTATTTCAGACCTGTATGATTCACTTGTTGCTGTGAAACTAGAAGACAATCTCTTTGTGGAGACTTGGAAGCCAAATCTTCCATCAAACTGTTCAACGCATTACGAGGCAAGATCATTTCTTTCTTACATTTTTGTATACTCATTAATCGTTAAAAATTTTTTTTTTCATAATCCGGGATTTTTTTTCAGGTTCATAATGTAAAGAAGGTGAAATTTGATAATGAATCATACTGGTTTCCTTCAACAATGGATCATGCGAAGTGGGCAGTAGCAGAGCACAAACCATGGACCTGTATTGGTGACATCAATAGAAATGTCAGTGTAGTAGAATTTTACTGGTATTGTACGGACAGATTGTACAGTTAAACCCAGTTTTCCTGGACCTTTAATTTTATTTCGATTTTTGCTGTCTCTCAGTACTTCATAATTTGAATTTCTTTGTTTAAAGCTCATTTAAACATGGTTGACATCATGCGGATTCTATAAGAGTTTATTAAGGAAGTATATATGCACTTAAGTTTTATTATAAACCATTGTAGGAATCACAACTTCGCAGAGGAGGCGGGACAATGTGTTTATATCATAAAGGTGTAGCCAGCCTGTTTAGAGAACTTATAAAATTGTTAGCGAAATGTTTATAAAGAATTTCTTCCAATCAATTATGATGATATCTAAAATTTTAACCAACCAGTACTATTTTCAATTTCGAACGCTATAAGTCAAATATTTAAGTGTAGAAAATCTGGAAATACGGCAATTAAGTATTTTTTCTTCAGAATATTTTATTTCTGAAAATGATTTAAATATGATTTTTTAACATTATGATATCAATGATTGATAATTATTTTTAAATTAAGAAAGAATTGATTTTGTCTTTCTAAACTTAAAGATAGCAATGTGAATAATTTACCAGGGTTGATGCAAAAGTATCGTCACAACTGCTTTATAATCTTTAATAATCGAATTTTTTCAACAAATATACATTCTAATATCCGTTTCTATTTTAATTTTTGTCTATAAATTTCATTTTCTTTAATATAACTTTTTTTAAAAATATTAAGATAATACAATACGTTTTGTCTTTCGTCGCATGGTAAAATTAATTGCCTTTTGTTACTTAAAAGTTATGTATTTATACACATTTGCATACATATCCAGTTTTTATGCCCCCTAATCGAAGATTCAGAGGTACATGCATAGTTTTTGCCCCGTCTGTCTGTATGTTTGTTCGCAAAACCTTTAACCTTGCACTTAACTTTTGATTGGTTGGAGCTACAACTTTCATATTTCACATGTGCATTCCTTATGATAAGATCTTTTTTGGGGTACCAACATATTTGACCTCTTGACGTTGGAGTTTGGCCCACTTCTGCAAAAAAAATTACCAAACTTTAACCTTGGTCATAACTTTTGAACAGTTGGTGCTAGGGTTTTCATACTTTACATGTATATTCATTGTGACCTTTCTTGGGTAAAGAAGTTTTTGACCTTGACCTCAGAGTCTGACCCACTTTTAAAAACTTTAACCTTGGACATAACTCTTGAACATTTAGGACTAGGGCTTTCATATTTCACAGGTATATTCTTTATGACATGACCTTCCTTTGGATACTAAAAATTTTGACCTTGATCTTGGAGTTTGACCTACTTTTTAAAAACGTTAACTTTTGCAATAACTTTGAACAGTTGGTGCTAGAGCTTTTATATATCACATTTGTATTTCTTTTGACAAGACTTTCAACTGGGTACCATTAATTTTGAACCTTTGACCTTGACCTTAGAATTTGACAACTTTTAAAAACTTTAACTTTGGCCATAAATTTTGAGTGGTTGGTGCATGGGCTTTCATATTCCGCTGGTACATTCATTGAGACCAATGCGTTCTTTGGGTAACAGCTTTTTCGATCTCTTGACCTTGGAGTTTGGCTTGCATTTAGGAAAGCCTTTGACAGTGTTGACAGGGAGAGAATATGGAAACTTCTGCGACATTATGGAGTTCCTTGTAAACTGGTAAATATCATCCGCAACTCTTATGAACACCTGACATGCAGGGTCATACATGGAGGACAACTGACAGAACCATTCGAAGTAAAAACAGGAGTTCGTCAGGGATGTCTACTGTCACCCTTTCTGTTTCTTCTTGCAATAGACTGGATAATGAAATCATCTACAGACAATAGGAGAAATGGATTACAGTGGACACCATAATCACAGTTAGACGACCTAGACTTCGCGGATGACCTGGCACTCATGCAGGCACAAATGCAGGAGAAAATTACAACAGTGGAAGAAACATCAGCACAGATAGGACTCAACATCAATATTGCAAAAACAAAGATCCTAAGTGCAAACACACCATCACATGCTTCATTAAATATAGAAGGAAAGGAAATAGAGGAAGTAGAACATTTCACCTACCTTGGTAGTATACTGGACCAACAAGGAAGAACGGAAGCGGACATAAAAGCAAGAATAGGAAAGGCCAGAGTAGCATTCCTGCAACTTGGAAACATCTGGAAGACCAAGGGAATTACAACACGCACCAAAGTTAGGCTTTTTAACAGCAATGTTAAGGCAGTGCTTCTCTATGGTTCTGAGACATGGAGGATGACCGTTACCACAACAAACAGGATCCAGACATTCGTCAACTCTTGTCTGAGACGCATTCTCCAGATTAGATGGCCCGACAAAATCAGCAACATCAATTTGTGGCAAAGAACCACGCCCCTATAGAAGAAGAAATAATGCAGAGAAGGTGGAGGTGGATAGGGCATACTCTACGCAAGCCCCACAATAACATCACAAGACAAGCCCTATCCTGGACCCCCCCCCCCCTCCAAGGAAAACGTAGGAGAGGTAGACCAAAGAACACCTGGCGGAGAGATCTGGAGTCAGACGTGAAAAGAATGGGCAAGAACTGAAATTAGGTGGAAAGCATTGCTCAGGATAGAGGGGCCTGGAGGAATCTTGTTAGCGGCCTATGCCCCCAAAAGGGGTAGCAGGCATAAGTAAGTAAGTACTATTAAGCTGTCATACGGGGGCATCAGTGTTTCACAAACACATCTTGTTGCATATGTTAAGAACAAAGTCAGTATCTGCTTTTTTAAATAGTTGAGAAAAACGGTCAACATCATTAGGAATGGTTTTTTTATGGGTATAAACAGGTAATAAAAAAGGGAAAAAGAAATAAGCATGCATATGTGTAAGCTGATATCTTTACGTTTAAATGATGAAATATGAGCCGTTAGATGGATGTAAAGAATTCATTTTAGAACTTGAAATACTCATATTGCACCAAGAAGCAAAAAAAAAAAAAAAAAAAAAAAAAAAAAAAAACATTCGATACATTGACAAGTTCTTAGCAATATCGTTTATATCTCTAATATCAGTTTGGAATATTCTGGATTGGGCAATCCTTCTCATTAGATGTTATTGAGAACAAGCGAATTCTGCTTGACAAATCAACGGAAATTTAAGCTTATACTTATTATGACGGTTCAATTCTCAAATTTTATTGTAAAAATTTAACTTCTGCGTTTGGTTAAGGAAAAGGCAACTTAAGTAGTATGTGAGATCCCTCTTTTCTTCTATAGTCTTTCAAATGACAAAAATTAAACTTCCCTTTTACATTTTTTATCACAATGACTTGGTTATATCTAGGCTTAAAACAAACGTTATGATTGCTGGGTTATATAACAGGAAAAAAAATTATTTGCTTTGATGATCTGAATTTTCTTTTTCCCTCGATATTTATGTCAATATACTGCAGGTTTTTCACTCATTTGTTATTTATTTAGCACATTCTGAAAATTATTTAACATTCAGTTGCCCCTCGTAAATGGGACTTTTATATATATACGTTTGTGGCTTACTGTATGCTAATATTATCAATGTTTTACATACATATGTACAATGTATATAAGTTTTGTAAATACTTATGTTTTTTTATAAACCTGAACACCATAGAAGCTTTGTTGTTGTATCATATTTTGATGAAAAACAAAGGACTTTAACACAAGGTATTTCTTGAATATCTGCCTTCGCAGTCTTTAAGTTTATTTTTTTTTTTCATCTCATTGTTTTGTCTCCAGAAATCATAACCAATCATGAAGTTTGTGCATTTATGAAGTTGACTGTATGCTTGTCGTTAATTTTACATTCTTAATCTTCATTTTAATAATTTTAAAATCTGCCTAGACCTCTCAGGAGATTTATCTCCTAAAACATACGTTTATTAGATATAAAAACATCATTTTTTCCATAAAATATCTAAAGAAAAAACAGACAAAATGCATTTAGATATAAGCACTACAAGCTCGACTTTTTTTTCAAATAATCGTGGAAAATCAAAAGCTTCAAAGAAAGTTTGTCTCTGACTGTATCAACTGCAAAGTAAGATTTCCATTAGAGCACAAAGTACAAGTGTACTCCTTATCTATCGCACAGGTGCTTGAGGACAGGACCCCCCCCCCCCCCCCGATGCAGACCCCCGGGCTTGTTCGACTTTTTTCTCATAAATTATATATGGCTGACACATCTGTGATATAATCTCTATATCGTCAATTCGGAAAATTGACTTAAACAAACATTTTATAAAAAATTACTTTCCTACCCTATATATAAAAAACGGGTAGGAAAGTAATTTTTTATAAAATGTTTGTTTAAGTCAATTTTCCGAATTGACGATATAGAGATTATATCACAGATGTGTCAGCCATATATAATTTATGAGAAAAAAGTCGAACAAGCCCGGGGGTCTGTATCGGGGGGGGGGGGAGTTTCCTGTCCTCAAGCACCTGTGATCTATCGTATATAAATAAAGTACATGTATACAGAAATACTGATGTAACATAACTCATTAAATAATAAAATATAGTTTAAATGAAGCACTAGTGCTTATGACGAGAGATGGAAGTTCAAATATTGTCATGTGATGATCGATTTTTGCAAACAGGATATAAAACATAGAGTATTTACTTCCCTATTGCCAGATTTTATCATTTTAAGGAAATGTAATCATACAAAATCACGAATCATACAAGTTTAAATTTGGTTCAAAAAGAAACTACAGCAAAAAATCAGAATGTTAACACCTGTGTCACCTCTGACGGTTACTCTATTTACTACAGTCCTGGAACTCTATTTCTGTTTAAACTGTGTGTCACCTTCAGGAAAACCAGTGGACTGGTAAGAAATTTTATTTTCAAGGTTGCTCGAAAGATGTATTTTGGCTATGTGCTTAAAATTTGCTTACGGGCATATAACTTCGAACATTTTCTTTAAAAGATATTGATGTATGTTAAACTACATGTATCATATATAGATAACTCTTCCAAAAAGGTATATAATGTACAAAATTCCTCGTCCTACAAGAAGATCACCAGCAAACACTACCGGAAAAGAGTTTTATTATATGGACTCTGTAAATCCAGTCTTTACATTTAAAGATGTCAGTATACAAGAAGAGAAGGAAAACCCCTTGTTCAAAACTCTTCAGCAAATATATGAAGGAGTATGTAACCATACCGTATTTTTGTGACAATCTCTCTCTCTCTCTCTCTCTCTCTCTCTCTCTCTCTCTCTCTCTCTCTCGGTGTTTTCTCTATAAATCAATAACTAAATAGATTGATAGATCCAATTATTTATAAACATGATTTGTATGATATCCATTAAAGTTTTAAGATACAGGGTGTTTCACAATATATGTTCCACATCTAAAGGCAGAAAGAAAAATTACAACAAAATCTGCATATACATTTTATATATCATTTTAATCAGCAGATATTCAAAATTATTATTTTTAGTCAGAAGTATCCAACATTCTCCATTTCCGTTTCTATGGCAAAGATTTCCTAAAATGTTATACTCCACGTGTTTTCCTTACCATTGTCCTAAATATCTTGACAGACTCGTGTTAAGAAATTTCTAACCACTGCGTTTCAAAGGATACTTGACAGATTTCTTGTTTATATCTAACTTTTTAGAACCCCCAAAGTGCATATTTATTTGTTTATTTAATGATTCATTTAGATAAATGTGTCATATCAGAACTACCGGTGTGTGCTGATGTCCACTTCTCTCGTTCTTCCTTTCAATCAATTTTGCATCCTTAACTGACTCTGAATGTCAGTTGGCTTTAAATGCTGCAATGCTGAAATCTTGTATGCAGACACACTCAATTCAAATAAAAAATGTCTAAATACACTTGATACATTTACATTGTCCCAATCCATTTTCGTAACTCAGATCTGACTTTCTAAAGGTTTTCTCAATGATTGACTTCAATTTGACAATGTTCTCATTTGGGAGGGGGGGGGGGGCAGGATGTAACTGTCTTTCATCTTTACATTATGTTTTATTTAAACTTCTTAATTAACCTTATTAAATGAAAACTAGACAGGGCTTTCTGGTCTGGATATTTTCCTTCATCACACCCTGTACAATATTTAGGATATCGTGCTTATAATAAAAGTTTACAAATTCAAATTTTTGTTGCTAGTTGTACTCCATTTTGAGAACAGCTGAAATTATGACATCACTGAATACATCATCAATGAACTTCATGTTATTATAATTTTCCCAAAATTTTGCAATATCATAATTTTATATTAATATGATTGTCTATGGTACTTTGGTATTTTTGGTATCATGCTTGATATTCAGATTATGGCCATTTAGACGTGTGATATATATTATGAAACACCCTGTATATATGCAGATTGCTGACCATTCTTAACATTGAATAATGATTTTTTCAAGCCAATTCTTTCTAGAAATCATCGGTGTATGCCATGTACAATGATGAACGTCCAGATCGTTACACAGTTTGGTTTACAGCAAAGGAAAACAGAACATTTCAGTGGGAGACAAACGGTGGTGCCCACATGAAAGGTCTAGCCATATCATATAGTATTTTACTAAAGGAAACGAGCGAACAAGACGTGCAGATTGCCTATATATCGTCAGATGCACAAAAAATCATATTCAATTTGTGATTTAAGTATTTAGCGTAAAGTACTTATTTCTGAAAATTATGAAATTATGTCAAACAAAACTTTCCTTGTGGGAAATTTTCTCGGCAAAAATTATTCTATTATTAAAGAAAATGTGATATTACATACATGTAATAGGTTTCGAGCCCTAGCATTAAAAATCCTGAGTATCTTTTAAATTTCTTTGAGACTAACACGTTTACCACTATAAGTATTTCTCGGGAAAATACGAATGTTGTATTATAAAAGTGGAATTTTACGGTATAGTGGGTCTTTGCTGCATGTTTTTGTTAACCAAAAATGTATATTTTTACGCATACTTGAGGATACACTTTCAAAAAAAAAAAAATAGAGCCAACCCACAAGTATGGAAAAATTGTGCTACAGTATGAGAAAAAAAGAATTTGTGCCCTTATAGAAAATGTTATAATTGAGAATTAATTTTACACTTTCATATTTGTTGCACTATAGGCATTTTGCTCGCCTTGTTGGTCCATCTTCTTTGTTCAAATCAAATAAAATTGTGTCATTTTCTTTAAATAACGATATAAATGTAAACAATTTATCACACAAGAGAGGGATCAGACATTGTTTAATTGTTTCATTGGGGGTTGGGGTTGGGGGGGTCAAGAGGGGAGGGGGTTCAGGTATTATCATATTACGTAACTTATATTAAGAGCGTGTAAGTTTGATCCCCTTTGTGTATGCTTAATAGTTTACATTTATATCCTCATTTTAATAAATGGCATAATTGATTTCAAATTTTACAGAATAAAGGAACCATTTAATAGGCATTGATTCATAATTGAAAACATTTACAAAAATATTTGCATTAAATCCATAAAAACAGTAATTTTACATGTATATTAATTGTTGTTTTATATGCACATCTTATTAAACAAAGCCCTTTTATGAGGTCGATCCATAGATACATCGGCTTTATTCGTCGTGATAGGTGGATATGCTTTTTCTTTGAAGTCGATATGTCTACGGATTGTATCAAAGGTCAACATTTCTTATATCATTTTCTGTAAGACAAATAAGTAACAAAATCCTCATAGTAGAACTTTTATGGGATCTTGAATTTCCTACTTAATGTGGATTTTCTCGATTTTATTTTAACTTTCCAATATCTGAAATCTATGACTTAGCAAGTGAAATAAACTAAATCACATTCTGAGTTTCAAAGTATATTTAAGGAATAACTGTCTAATTTTTTGGTTTCATGATGTGATCAATCGATTGGCTTGCGTGATAATTTGCATAAACGCCGAAGGCGTTTATGCATTAAATTATCACGCAAGCCAATCGATTGATCATCGTCATAAAACTACAAAATCTGACCGTTATTCTTTTATATATTTACATGCTCTTGATTCTGCAAATTCACGTGCTACAAGCCCCGCTTCTGTCTCTGTCTGTCCCGCCCCGTACGTGATTTTTTTTTCACCACGCCTATCGATGAACCAGTAGATTCATGTAGAAATAAAGTATTTTTACTATTTGAAATTTTATATCGGACAAAGACATTGGAAATGATATATATATATATAAAACAAATATTTTAGGCGCCTATGCTTTTGATGAGAACGAAGGCTTTTGGTTAATTCTAAGCATACCGAAATTTCCCGCTCCAAGAAAACAAGGCTATAGTTACGGTCAATCACAAATCGCAAAGGGACAGAGCATACTATGTGTTACTCTTGACAAGCAGTATCTCAGGACAGAAATGGGTAAGTCTATTGCTTCTTGTTTTGTAACTCTTAACGATTAATAAGAATCACATGCAAGTTCATTGTTTTAAAAATAATTAAGTAGATTAATTTTGGAAAGATATGTACAATGTCTTTTTAATCCAATTGAATCTGGGTTTTCATAAATATGACTATTTAAGGTTTAAAGTGGCTTCCCGGTCAATTTTACTGATTTATTTATTTCAGAAAAAATATTTTATATAACAAAGCCCACATTTTATGATCGTAACAATGTGGCAATGAAGACGGGGCAAAAATATATCAGCTCTTCTGCTGTGGTTGGCTTCAAATCCAAAGGAGGACAGAAATTTCGATTCTTTGCCAAATCAGACAAGTTTGGAATGGGTAATATTACGTTAGTTGACTGTTCTAACAGTCTGTAATTTCTGTATTTGGATATATTACACTGATGATGGTGCTGATATACAAAACCTTCGAGGAGTGAAAGATTACTTTGTACTAAAATATTTTACTGAACAAATTTAATGAAATAGCTTTAGTACAATTAACCTGATTGAAGTGAATAATTTTAATTATGGTGTCCTTATCATATTTAAAATTAATCTTAATGAAGATGGGAGAAAGATGTTCAACCTCAACTACCAACCCACCCCCACTCTATTTTCTGTATATTTTCTGTCCTTTAAATGATTCTATTTCGATAGACCACAACTATTCTTTACAGATATCTCTTAATTTCAGGTGCTATCTGTTACGTTTTGGACATATCTCTATACAAAGTGATATCTCTTAGTTGCAAAAACTCTTTATGACAAAAAAATCACTACATGTCAAAGCGTTATTTCTTTAACAAAAGAACATCCATTCTGAAAGAAATATCTCTTTTGATTAGAAAGATACTTCCTTCCAAAATAGATTTTTTTCATATCAGTCAAAGATATCTTTTTCTACCAAGTTGATATTAATCAAGGAGGTTAAAAGAGAGTTCTCATTTTGCAAAAATCTCTTTTTGAAATAAAAATCTCAAAGAAAAGGAGATTTCTCTTTCTAGAATTCATGGAGAGATACCTTTTGTCAAGATCAAGATAACTCTTTTTAAAAAGTAAAATTACAAAGTTAATTTCATTGTCAAAAAAGATATCTCATTGAAAAGGAGATATCTCCTACTGGAAAATTGAGAAAGAGAAGTATCTTTCATATCTAATGAAATTTCTCATTCTATTTGATAGACATTTCTTTATGAAAGAAATATATCTATTATAACCAAAGAGATATTTTATTTTGTTAATAAATAGTAAAACTGCTTACCATAGTTGGAAAGAGGCCATTGTCTATATACTGAGGTTGGTGTACTTTTTCCATAGCATTTGGTTCTATAGTTAGTAGCTTATTCCCTTTTATTCAGATGATACAGAATACATGGACTCCTTGCATGAGAGAGATACAATTTCTATCAGATGGAAATTTCTATCATTCAAAATTGTAATCGATTTAGGATGTGGTCTGAAAAAATATGCAGAGAAAATGACTGATTAAATTTTCAGAAAATATTTTCATGACATAAATTCCACATTCACAAGTTTCCAATTTGACCTATATTGATAAAGTGCACTGAACTGAACTTTCATTTGATATAAGGAAATCAACCCAATAGTGGAACTTCAGTATCTCAAACTTTGATATCTCGAATACCATGTACATGTTAAAGTGAGTTGGAAGTCCAACCTCCCCCCCCCCCCCCCCCCAAATATTAAACCACATTAGTCTCAGTCTGTCCATCTGTCTGCCACAAAAACTTTAACTTTGGTCATAACTTTTAAATGAAAATTTTAAAAAATTTTAACATTACTTTTGAAGGAGAGAAAATTAGGCCTTTATATTCAACTTGCATTACATGTGACTGTATTATGATTTTTAAACTCATGACCTTGACCTTGAAGTTTGACCTACTTTTCAAAAATTTTAACATATTGCCGTTAACTTCTAATGGAGAGAAGATAAGATTTTTATATTTGACATGTGCATAACCTGTGACAAGACCTTTCCAAAATATACTATAACTTTTAACCCCATGACCTTGACCTAGAAGTTTGTCCTACTTTGAAAAAATTTCAACATTGCTGGTAATTTTTGATGGAGAGAAGATAGGGTGTTTTTATTTGACATGTGCATAGCATGCAACAAGACCTTTTCAAGTATACTATAATGTTTAACCCCATGACCTTGACCTTGAAGTTTGACCAAATTTTCAAAAATTTGAACATTACTGATAACTTTTGAATGAGAGAAGATTAGGCTTTTGTATTTGACATGCACATTACCTGTTTAAAAACCTTTCCAAATATAATCTAATATTTTGACCTGACCCAAAACTTAAAGTTTAAACTACAGTCTTTTTCATTTTTTTTTTACTTAGATGATAACTTTTGAGTGAGAGAAAATGGGGCTTTCATATGTGCATATCTTGTGACAAGACCTTTCAAATTGTATCATATTTAACCTCATGAACTTGAAGTTTGATACAGTTTTAAGAAGCTTCAATCTTGACTATAACCTTTCTTAAATCAAAAATTTAAATTTTTTGTTTGATGGACACACAAGAAAGGGCATACAAACAAAATGGTTACAATATGCCTAAAATAACTGCACCAAAAGTGGGAACCACTTTCTTTGAGTTTGCTTGTTCTTTAAGTTTTAACCTCAATATCTCAAACTCTTGTATATCTTGAAGTGCTTTCTCTGTCCTACTGATTTCAAGATAACAAGATTTGACTGTATTTTCAGAGGTATTGACATTACCAATTCAAAATAGATAAGTGTGACACAAAAATAATTTCATTTATTATTAGAATAAAATAATTTTTTTCAATTATTACAGACCTGTATGATTCACTTGTTGCATTGGATCTGAAAGACAATCTGTATGTGGAGACTTGGTACCCAAATCTGAAATCCAATTGTTCTACAAAGTACAAGGCAAGAACATTCATTTTAGTCCCTCATTGACCATACAATGAAATGATATTTAACCTTCCTTATTACAATTCTTTCAGGTTTATAATGTAGAAAAGGTGAGGTTTGGTGATCATTACAATTTCCTGTCTACAACAGATCACTCTAAGTGGGTGGTGGCAGAAAGTAAACAATGGACTTGTATTGGTGATATCAACAGAAATGTAAGTAATTATTCAAAAACACAAACAATTAAAATACTATCAAGTTCTTTCAATCCAAGTCAGGCAATAAATTATAAGTGAAATCACTAATTTTTGTGGGGTTATTTTTTATTGTTTTCATGATGTGAAAAGACTCATGAATTCATATCCCACATGAAATGTTCATTTTTAATAAGTCATGCATTATGGTATTTCTTTTTTAACCATGAATTCCCCTAAAACCACAAAAATTAGACCCCACAAAAATAAGTGATTTTACAGTATTCATATTTCTAAAAAACAATTGTAGACGTCACAGTTCAAAAGAGGAGGAGGAACAATGTGCTTAAATCATCAGAAAGTTTCCAAGCAGTTTAGAGAAATTGTGGGAGAATTTAATAAATGTTAAAGAACAGGACCTGTCCTCTAAGGTCTTCGGGATGTGAAATTTTTCAGTCAAGAAAGATGTTACCAACACTCTCAAGCTTGATATACAGCAAATAATTTGAGATTGGAGAAATGTCAGTGTTTCTAATGGAAAAACTGTGCAGAATTATTTTCAATATTTTGCAGCATGAAAAATTCAGATAACTATGATATTGTGATAATACTAGTTCAAGAATAACTTAAAGTTCAGGTATTTTCAATGTCAGCAGTGGTCAATTTCAACAATATTTTAAATATAGCAAGAATAAATCTTGTTTTGAATCTATTTAAAAGATATTAATGACAGGACTCAAAGTATTTTATATATATATATATATATATATATATATATATATATATATATATATATATATATATATATATATATATATATATATACTGGTATATAGAGGATGGACATATATTCTGTAGATTCCTTACTGTTTGCAAAATAACTCCAATGTCAAATTGTGAGAACACACAAATTAATGATTGGTCTACAGTTTTTACAAATATTTCTGCAACATAACAGTAAAAGTCAGTAATTTATTTCAGCCATGGTGCTTCTTGCAAAATTATGCAATAATAAATTCCTTGCACTTAATAATGAATCTACAGCAATATCATCTGATCTCTCCATTGAAAACATTACCTTTCTGACAACCAGAAAACATTGAACTAAAACATTTTTACTACCTACATGTACACATCGAAATAACAGATATTGCCAGCTATTTAAACAACAATCAAAATACCCATATTCTCTTCCACAAAGATGACCAACTAGATAGAAATATTGTAGTCAGCACCATAAGGAAACTTTCTTTAGCAACTGGTTTCCTTTAGTCCATATACAGTAAAACATGGATATAGCAAACTTGCTCATAATGAATTCATGCGTACAGCAGATTTTCATTCACCATGGTTCTAAAACATATTGTAATCTTGACAGATATAATGAATCAAAATTGTTCATCCCTAGCACTTTGCTATGAGCATGTTTTACTGTATGTTAAAATTGGGGAAAAAAGGAAATTTTGTTAGCTAAAATTAATATTCTTTGAGGTTTTACTGAACAGAATTGCCCTTCTGCTATGAAATATTGTCATATTTATGAAAATAAAGTCTCTAAAAGAATGATGATCAATATCAATTGTATTGATTTTATTTTGCTACATCTTTTTTTCAAAGTTTTACTATAAATGTCCTCTGTTTTATCAGCTGCATCAGTAATCAAAAGTCAATCATATTCATCATCAGAAATTGTCCATTTATTGCTCTCCATCCTTTAAACCATAATTTTATTTTTCTTCTTGGACCCATACTGATAATCCTTTTCTGATTTGCTCATTAAGGTGGAATGATTTCAAATAATTATATTGCAAAGAAACACAATTTCTTTTTTCATTTATTGATAGATGTCCCAAGCCTTAAATATGTATGGCAAGGAACTCACTTTATGAAATCAGCAACACAATTTTCATCGTTCCTAAGAGTTCAAGAAGCATAAACATTTTCTGTTAACTGATTCAAATTGCACCATAATCTTGTCTCTGACATCCAGCCTTGTAATATGCATATAAAATAATATTCACGTTCCACTCAGTGTACCTGATCAACAGACACTGCACGAGTCATTATGAAATATCACAGTACTGTTTGTATTATTTTAGTTCTATCCCATTAAACATCTGCTAGCTTAGCCAATCCAAGTCTTCATCATCATCATCGTCTGGAAATAGTGGAGGTGGACGTTGCTTGGAGTCCTAAAAACAGATGAATGAGTGGTTGTTAGAATTCAAGCAATAAAAATGAACATAAATTTGTAAACCCTCCTACCATTAGCTGCAATAATGTAGCCCTCTCCGTTTTTTTTTTAAATCGGGAGAGGGCTACATTATTGCAGCTATCCTACCATCACCCCAACCACCCCTCACACACACATAAGTATTCATCCTTACGACTTTACAGGTACGTTCTCTGCAGGATGAAATTGTAAAGAGAGAGCTGATACTTATGAAGGATATAAACAACTTAAGACTGTGTCTACAAACTATAAATTTTAAATATACTGCACATGAATTACCTGGTACAATGAATTAAATTCTTTAACATTTGTAATTATCAAATATTTTGACATTAAAATGTTCTTTTCTTTCCTCAGACTTTTTACTTACATCTTCCAGTAAATCTTTGGCTTCAGGTTTTTTCTTATTGTCATTTTTCTCCTTTTGTTCTGTGGTTTGGAATGTGTCACCAAAGGTATCTGCTACATGATCATCCTCCCCGAAAAGGGGACTATATGGAAGGAAAACATAGAGGTGGTTAGTGTATACTACAATGCATGTACTTTCTATACAAAAGTTTTCTAAAGAAGCTCTTTTGAACCAACATCATAAGATTAATATAATGCATTTTTGAAACACCCCCAATTTAAATTTGACCTTTGATCTTGATGACCTTTACCAGCTGTGAAGCTTGACCTTTGTCTTTCTCAAACATGAAGTCTCTTACACATTTTACAAGACTGAACAACATGCTAAAGATACTAACTCATTATTCTCTTCCATCTTCTCACTTTCAGCTGACTCCTCATCATCCGTTATCGGTGGAGGCTCTCGTGACACAATAACAGGAACTTCAAAGTCATCAAATTTGTTTGGGGCTGTATCCTCCTTTGGGATCTGATCCTTCACCTCCTCCTTGTCAGGTTCACTCCCTGTTGGGATCTGATTTTTCACTTCTTCATTGTCTGGATCATTGACTTTGGGAGTGTTCTCAAGGATATTCTCCTGGAGTGGTGGTGTACTAGACTTTGTGGATGTCTCTTCTTCTGAGGGAGATTCCTCCTGCTTCTCTGTAGGAGGAGGTTCTTCATTAGCTGGCTCTGTTTTTGTATCTTCTTTTTTAACAGGTTCATTTTCACTGCTTACAATCACTGGGGCTTCCTTCACTGGTTTTTCTTCTTGATTTGTTTTGGGCTCTGGATAGTAAATAGTAAATGATTTTTTTTTTTTCAAAATGTTATGAAATAAAGGATATACAAGTATTAGTCCAAATCACTGATTTTCTTGAGAAATTCTTTACTTACCTGAACCATACATTTTATGTACATCACATCAGTAAAAAATGCATACTTACAGATAATATCAATGGACTTTTGCGAGAAGCGCTGACTTTTACAATCGACGACTTACTTTTACACTGGGACAATATATGGCAGCTCTTTTGCGATATAAATATTTAGCTAAACAGTTAAAGGATAATGATTGACATTTCAAAGCACATAATACATTGTCTAGGGAGGGGAACAAGAAACGCCCTGTACTAAACCCCTCCCTTTCCCACCATGACATACTCCTGCCAAATTATCCTATCGGAACGTTTTTTCTTCCTTATTTGATTCAGTCATAAAATAAGATTGAAAGGAGATACTATCCCTCACGAATAAGGTATTTTAAGTTATGTTATTCTACCTCCCATCATCTCTCGTGTTGATTGCATACCGGTAAATCATGTAAGTGCCCCTAACACCCTACCTATGACCACTAGTAAGGTTTTCTAATCTATTTGTCAATTCCGTACCTCCGTACATAATTCATGTTTAAATGTCCATGTAAGCCGTCGAGTGTAAAAGTCAGTGCTTCTCGTAAAAGTCCAATAAAAGGTTATATACAGTTTTTTATTTCTTAAGATTTGTGGTTTCTGAGATAACAATCCATCCCTTACCATGAACTTCCTCTTTCTCTTGTTCTTCTTCTTCACTGTCTTGATCTTTATCATCACTATCACCTTCTTCTTCACCTTCCTCCTCTTCCTCTTCATCCTCATCATCCTCATCTTCCTCTTCATCACTCTGTTTTGCAGAGGAACTTTGCTGAACCAACTTTAATGTAGTTTCCTATAATTCACAGTCAACAAAATTACATACATGTAAGAGTATGAAGAAAATGTTCTATAGAAATGCCAGACAATCTATGTTTATCTAATTAAAAGTCACAAAAAGAAAAAAAATTCATTCAAAAAAATACCAGTTGGTCACGATCATAATCCAATGCACACTTCTGTTTGAAGTAACAGCTTCTAATTTTTTCACTTCTAAATTCATGAAGTGAACTGAAACTGGCTTTAACAAAGGCCACACACATTTTTTGTCAAATATACATGTACATTAGCAACTTTCTTTTTAAGGAAAATTAAATTTCTATATTGAATAGTTCAGCTCTTCCTTATGTCCTTCTGGTCAAAAGTATTTTTAAAAAAATTGGAAACAGTTTCATTCAAATTAAAAATTTATATCAAATATTTGAAAACACACAAAAATAAGCTGACATGATTCTTTGACGTGAATACCAGCATTTTGCATAATACTGTGCTTGAAGCTTAGAAAATCTTAACAGACTTACCTTAATGACTCCTAAAATAGATGCTAAGACTTCATCCCCTCGATAAGAATTGTCAGCTTCAAATTTAGACCTCAGGTTTTGGTACACTGAATTCATTATCTTCTTCACCTGTTAAAAAATGAAAAAGACAGTTTCAAATTTCAATGGTAATCAGTAACATCTCTGAGAAAACTTGAAGCAATTGCCTCAAAACAAAAGTTATGCAATGTAGATTTAAAGTTTTACAAAGTTTCTGCCTAGGTTTGATTTCAAGAATTAAATGAATATTATTCATCATATTCAACCAGTTTGTCTATTTCTAACTTAAAGACATAAATCAGATCACTTTGTGAGAATGTAGTAGCAGTAGATTTATTTTGTTGACCATTTTGACTAAAATACTTAACAATACAATTCAATGCTAAATTTGTCACTTTATAAATACCGTCAATTTCAATGTTTTTTTTTAATTAAGCATTGATTTGAAAATTTCTGATAATAAAATTTAACCTTCCTACCCAATTTTTTTTTTTTTAATCCTCAGTCAGGAGAGGGCAAGCAAACATTATTTTAAAGATGGCCTAATCTTTAATCTTTTTTTTAATTTGTTGGATAATGCTCAGCATGGATAATTACCTCAGTAGCAACATCTGCACCTTCTGTAGCACTGCTTCCTGGGGTAGTAACTGGTCGATTAGCCAGCTCTCTCTGAAGAACCTGGATCCTCTCCTCAGCTCTCTCCTTGTCTGTCTCCAACTCCTCTTTCTCATTCTCTAAATCTTCAATCCTTTCCTCATACTTTTCCTTCATAGAGGTTGCCTGTGACCTCAGGTTGTCATACTGAAATACATGTAGATACATGAATGTGTAATTACCTCTGGTGTATTCAGCCTCTGACATTTATTTATGTTCTATCTTCATATCAACATTTACTACTTAACAGGAATAACTGATGATAATTTCTATTTTGGCTTGTTATGAAGTAGGTCATGCAAATCACATTTGCATGCGCGAACTTTATTTTCACATAATTAAGTGAAACCCTCTGCTCACAAAAATTTTATTCTTGCATTTATTTGTACAAGTACATGTATTATCAAAGATTATGTTTAACAATAACCAAAATTTGCGAAAATCATGTTTTGTTAATAAATACCAAACAAATTTCTTGTGAAAATTAAGGTGTTACCAAAAATAAGCAATCTATAGTAAATCATTTGTTTACCTTTCCTTTCCATACAGACATCTCCTCTATTTGTTCTTCGAGTTCCTTCTGTTTGGAATCACCACTCAAATGCTCATTCTTCATTGTATGAATCTGATTTGACAATTAATACACTGTTTATGAAAGATGAAAAATCTGACCACATCATAATTGATCATTTTATCATATACTCATCACATGCATCATGATAAAATAAACATGTACCTTGTTTTCTAATACTGCTACTTTTTCTTCCAGTTCGTCCTTTTCTTCCTTCATTGCCTGGAGAGCTCTGTTCTGTTTTTCATTGGCAGCAGTGAGAAGTCTGTCGCATTTCTCTTTCCATTCCCTGTTCAGCTCTTCCTCAACTTCTGCAACCTACATAACAGGTTAATATAAAAAATCATGAATTTTTAAAAATCCTTACCTGTAAACAGATATTTTTGAATCCCTTGTTTTTCTATATTTACCTGCTCAGCAGTGGCGACATCTGTTGAAGATTTCTGTTTACGTAGTTTTTCCCTCAGGGATTTGATCTCTTGCTGAAAATCATCATATATATTCAGTGTATTAGGGCATACCTTTTTTGGTGTTTCTATATGAATGAAGAAGAAGAATTTAAAGAACCTTTTTTATAGGATTTATGAGATTGTTAGCAGGATTTATGAGATTATCTTCACCTTTTTTTTCATTCATAACAAACCTCGAAATTTATCTTGGTTTCCTCAAACTCATCCTCCATTCTCCTTTTTTCTTCTGCTGCCTTTCGTTTTCTGTCACTTAAATTCTACAATAAAGCAGGTACAATAACTTCAATTAATTCCAATTGTTAATAAAATTTACAATATATGCCAGGAAAGATGGCCTACAGGTTGTTTTACATAAACTTATTTCTATAATCTTAAGTACATCAGGAAAAGCAATTGCAAGTATCAAACCTTTTGAAGTGTTTCATTAGTAGATTTAATATCTGCCAATTCCTCTTGTAACTGGGAAAAGTTATTGTCAAGGTCTTTTCTTTTTTGTTTCTCATGCTTCAAATCTTGACTTAATTCTGCAATTTTTGTTTCATCCTCTGCAAAAGATAGTGAAAATAACAAATATACTGGTAAAACTTGTAACTGAAAAACCAATACAGATAAGCCATTATGTAATACTTAAATAACAGCATCAGTATGCATGTATTTCACATTTATTTCTTTGAACAATGTTTAAACTTAGGCAGATGTGCATGAATTACATGCAAACATACCCAACATTAGTGTGTACTGAGTATTTTACCTTCATGCTGTGCTTTCATGGCCTGTATCTCTTTCTGACTTTTCCTTGAGTCTTGGTCAGAGTTTTCGAACCTTTGCTGTGCAGCCAACTCTTTCTCCCTTAATGTGGCTAACTGGAGTTGTGCATCTCCCAGTTGGGCTGTTACTGTGCTCAATTTTGTTGCTAAATTAACCTATAATTAACAAAACCACAATTTTAACGAATATCCATAACTCTTGCTTACTTTTTAATTTCGTGATGTACATATCTTGGGAAGACAAACATCATTGCAATGATATGAATGAAAGATTCCTTGGACGGAAAATAACCTATCTAGTTTTTAAATCACAAATGAATTCCATCATTTACATATGCAAATATCTATTACCTTTTCCTGTTCAAGAGCAAGGACCTTTGCCTGTGACTGGGAGGCAGAGGAGATGAAACCTTCATTTCTCTGCTCCAAAAGACTCTGGCTCTTTTCAACATACCTGTATAGAAATAAAATTACACCTGTAATAGTGTATAGATCCTGATCACTGTGACTTCAGAACCTAACTTTCCTTGTAAAATATTAAGAACAGCTCTAGAATTGATGGCATAAGAAGCAGATATGAAATTCCTACCAGACATGATAATTTATGGCTACAGTGTTTTACTTAAATGGTTACCATGTGATCAATTAGCAATTTTACATTGAATTTTGATATTACTTACATTTGATTACTCTGTAAAAGCTCTGATATTTTCTCATTCTGTCTTTCTATTTTGGCACTTTTATCATAACCTTCTTTTTTCAGTCTCTCATTTTCCTATTTTAATGCACAAAAATAAATAAATTATTTTGCATAATTTGCCACTTATATTATTGTCAAGAATTCTGGACATACTTAACACTAACCTGCACAATTCTTTGTATATTATGCATTAAAACTGAAGACTCCATGCTAGGCATTGAAGATTCTAAAGCCATGGGTCCTTTTTTGTGTAAAATATCAACCTACAAATAAAACTGAATATAAAACTCCAGCTGATTTTCAACGTAACTGTTTTAAATATTCAGAATACTCAATAAATAACTTTAAATATACAGAATACATATTATTAAATGTGTCCATTTATTTCAAAATGAATCTGTAAAGTGAAATGTACATGTACTGGTACACCCAAATCTTTACCAAACATATAGACCAAATTTCAAATGAATCTGTAAAGTGAAATATACATGTACTAGTACACCCAAATTAGTACATAAAACACAGAAGTGTTTAGCAAACATACAAACCTTTTCCAGAAGCTGATCTATTTTATCCTGCATTTTCCCCACTGACAACCTTAGTTCTGTGTTCTGCTGCCTGGTTTCTGTTAAGAGTATTGGTAAACTGGGTTCTCCTGCCTGGTTCATTGTGGGCATTCCTGATGCCATACTCACACCTGTATTCAACCAAGATGCATTGTATTATTGTTTAAAGCCATTCTGTTTTTAAAATTATAGCTCAGTGTAGGAATGTTAAGTACATGTATGTCAAAAAATAAGTCCGTAAAAACTCTGCTCATTAAGAACTACATGTAAATAGATTGACTAGTAAATTATAATAATGTCTGAAGCAGGACCTTGTGCCCGACTTATCAAGGTAAGACAAATTCATAGAAAATGATGTAATGGATAATTTGTTTTAGCATCAATATACATAAAGCACTGATTTTGGAAAAATAAAATACAGTTGAACTTCGGTATCTCGAACAATGATATCTCAAATATAATGGAAATGTTGAAGTGATTTGGAAGTCCCAACCCCTTATTCTTTAAGTATTTTACTCCAGATATCTCGAATCCTCGGATATCACCAAGTTTTTTCTCAGTCTCATTGAGTTTGAGATAACGAGGTTTGACTGTATATTGATTTTGTCCATGTTTTCGAAAGGGGACTGATGTGAACCAGCATTTTTTTTTCCTTATATAACTGGTCCCGATAAACAGTACCATTCCCAATGCCAAAAAACTTTATTTTTTCCCAATTTTGAGACTAAAAATTCCCAATTCAACTGCCAAGCAACAGAGTCCAATGACATCGTATTCTTTTATATGAAACGTAGTATGAGTTGACTAATTGTTTCACTTCCGCTTAAATCGAAAGTAAAGATCAGTCATAATATGGTGGGACCTGTGGTGTAGACAGCTTTTGACAAATTGAAAGCATGAAAATGTGTAAACAAGTGACATTGAATAGACAACAAATAGTAGTTGTTTATTCTTTAAACATGGAGTAATATTTAATGAGGTTGGAATAAATGCAAAATATGTTTCATTTGTTGACGTGAGAAAATTGTCCTTTGTTCTACTTCGATGCTATTTTTCACAATTGAACCGGTACCGGACCCTTTCTCACTCGGTAGAAAAAAATTGCTGTGAACAGTAAAAAATTGGTGTGTTCTTAATATACTTGAACATAATGGACTGGTGTTGGGAAGAAAATGTGTACAACACTATTTTTGTGAGGAGGCAGGGCTTTTTAATAGGAATATGCAGTCTTACCCTGATCCGGTGTTTGCCCTGCACCTTTTAGGGAAAAACAAACACTCTCACTTTTATGCCAGTGATTTTCACATAAGAATCTTACACTAAGAAAGTAGAATGGCTTGTAATAAAACTAACCTGTGTACATAGGTTGTTGCATTCCTCCCATCATCTGTTGTGGCTGGCCTTGATACGTGCTGGTAGCCTGAAATCCATTCTGGAATAATATACAATTGCAATATTATACAATTTTATGTGCAGTATGGTTCTGTGCAGTTGTAGAATTTTCACTGGTAAATATAGCAAATATTAACTTTTACAAAATACTACTAAAGAATGACAAAAATAATCAGCTGTTAGCCTGTAGTAAGTTTTAATCTAAACTGATACAGTACCTGGAGTCCTGGAGGCACCATTCCTTGCTGTAACATTTGTGGCTGGTACACAGATAACTGTTGGGCTGCAGGAATGTCTGTGTGTAAGCAAAGTCAGAATAAATAATGTTAACACTGAATCTTTGTCTACTATGAAAAAAGTTAAGAAGTAAAATATAAGCTGAAGATAAAGCACGAGAAAGCCCAGATACACTTTAGAACTTCGTGTTTGATATTAGTTATTTTTCACTTTTCAAAATCCAATTCTGCCCTGTTTTCAGTTTATTGTTTTCTATCTATATCTATGGAATTAATTATCAAGAACCTTTGACACAGTATTAATTTTTTTGAATGCACCTACTAATGCTGTAAACAGTGGTTGTTCTTTTTTTGTGTGTTTTTTTTTTTTACTGATTGAAACCTGGAAATCACATGTGTAATGTGTAACCGACTCACTCTGGAGAAAAGCTGGTTGTTGTGGCATCACTTGAACAGGTTGAACCGTTGGTTGTGTTGCTGGTTGTCGTGGATGATGAGGCACTGGTTTGGTTACTGACGGGCCTGTTGAAGATTGTGTTGGTTGAACTGGGGTATCCACAACTGGCTGTGGGGATTCCTAGCAAAAAAATTCATAGTTTTGTATTACACCACAAACAAACACTGCATGCCTTCATGTAAGTTATCATTCTCTAAGAGTTATAAATTCTAAAGTACAGTATTTACAATTTAAAGTTGTCAAAAAACAGAATCCATAAGTTTTCATAATTAAAATGAATCATATTTATGAAAGAGAAAAGAAGATTGTAAAACTTTCTAATAATACTTTAAAATCAACAAAGTAAATATGATGTGATAGAAGTCACTTACCATGACCTGTTCTTCCTCATCATCTGGCTGGACAGGAATGGCCCCTACTAATGGTAACATGGGCTGTCCCATCTTGGCCATTCTTGAGATCAGTTTGGCTTTGTTTGAACTTCCCTGCAAGAAAAATCACATGGAATATGAAAAACTAATGCTATATGTCTAAAAAAAAAAAAGAGGTGAACAAAATGTTTATGCAAGCTACAATTAAGTAGAAATGCAGTCAAACTAAACACTTAATAACAAAGTACATGTAATGCCAACTTTGCTTGATTAGATATGTGACTTTAATAAACAGGAGTCTCAAGAGGTCGTGAAATATCAATTCTGTTGAGTACAAAAAGCCATTTTTTTAAACAATTCAGCGTTGCTTGCATGGCACAGTGATAAGAACTTTTTCATCTAGAGTTGCGGAGTAAGGAGTTGATCTGGGTTCAAATCCCACAGCAGGACGTGTAGACCGGTCCTTCGGATGAGACCCTATAAACTGAGGTCCCGTGTTGCAGTAGATGCTGGCACGAAAAAGATCCCTCCTGCTCAATGGCTCAAAGTGCAAAGTATAGGTCTAAATTTGCAGCTCTCCAACAGCAGGTGGTGGCATCTCCATACGAGTGAAAAATTCTCAAGAGGGAGTTTAAACAACAAACAAACAAAACAATTAAGCATGTTCTTCTATACCTGTGCCTGGTGTTCTGTTAAAGACTTGGTCCTTCCTTTGATTGTCTGATTCTCTTCTAGTTCATCTGCTGGGGAGGGGGCAGTGACAGGCTGGGATGAGTCCACTGCAGGGCTAGGGGACTCTGATGATTTGGCATATTTAACCTTTTTTTGAATGAATGCAATCTTTAATTTGTTAATTCAAGTTTGACAAGGATCATGATGAAACAGATATTATGATTAGTAAAGACTAGTATTAAATAATAAAGATACAACAAAAATCGTACCATTTATTATTCTACTTACTCGTACAACCTCGATTTCAAATATAAGAGTTGAATTTGGCGGAATTCTACTCCCTGCTCCTTGACTTCCATATCCCAAGCTAGGAGGAACAACCAATAATCTTTTGGAGCCTTTTTTCATTCCTACAACACCTTGATCCCAGGCCTACAAAATTCAGTACCTTACCATACAGAACTGAAAACACATCCGTTACAAAATTCTTTGCAAAGGCAAGAATTGTTCCATAAATATATTCCATATGTACAGTATACTCTGGAAAATAAGCAATCCAGTATTGAGGCAACATTATGCAGCATACTAAGACCAAGAGCATTTTCCCAGGTAATATTTGAGACTAACACAAATCATATTCTCACAAATAATTAAGAGTTGGTACACAATATAATGAAAACATCAGTTGAATACATCACCTTAATAACTTTGCCCTGTCCTATTTTGAATCTGAAGAGTTTGTCTGCCTTAGCATTACTATCAAATTCCTGCAAGAAGAATTTGATTATTTTCATTAACAATATAATAAATCTTTGTGACATACATGTACTTTTTTACATATCATTTTCTTTTTAAATAAACACAGAAAAGGTTTACCTGTCCAAATGTGTGGTTGGTCAAAAGCCACCCTGTGTATTTGACCTCTACCATATCACCACTATCTACAGCTGTACCATCACCCAGCTGTAAGTCCTGGGACACAAGACTGGACAAATCTAATCCTGCACTGTTGGCTTTTGACAGGGCAACCTTCAACATAAATTTACATCAATAAAACTGATTACTTAATAGATGATGGTCATCATTAAACATTGTTCTTTGCTGATCACCCAAAGATTAAGTAACTGCTAATAAACCCAATCATAAATGTTTACATCAAATCTCTGAACTTTCTATTCAACTTCAAAGGGTGTTTATTCTTAATATCACTTGATATCCAGCATTTGATATAAAGGTCAATATTTACATGCTTGGCAAACTGGACTGCATTTGCATCAGAATCAAACATTATAGACCATGTCTGCCTCTGGTCATCATAAAAGCTCCCATAGTTGTTTGCCTGTACCTACAAGATAATTAATGTGACAATTCATTATCATGGAACCAATTCTTGTGACTCTTTGGGAAAAAAGAAAGGTATATTTACTAAAAAAAAAAAAAAACATTTTAAAAGATACATATACATATATATATAGAAGATATACAAGTATATGTACATATAGAAGATATTTTTATGCAGTTTACAAATTTGAAAAATCACTCTCAAGACTGGTTTATAAAAGAAAATTATGTACATCTTAGAACATATTTCAATATACATGTATAATAAAATTTATTGAATAGCAAGAGCACATAGATGTGCCAGACATTTGGTGCTGTGGTTACTTTGCATATATATATACATGTATCCCATGCAAACTTTCATGCAGAAAAAAATTTAAACTTACTGTGTAAGAAAATGTTGACAATATTGTTGCATTTGCCACTTGCTGACTTTTTGTCACATACAGTAACACCCTATACTGCAAAATAAATTGGCTTCATTAGAGAATATTACAAGTATTTTTGAAATTTTTGCTTATGATTTCACTGGCTTTTGGAAATTCTCTCAACCTATGAAATGTCTTACAGAAAGGCTAGAATGTGATCCTAATATTGCTGCACCCAATTTTCCTTGACTGGCATACTTTCCATCAACACTACAAAATGTAAATTAAATCAGTTATTCTTATTTAAAGCAAACTTGCAAAGAACTTAAAAATTATTTTGCTACATAAATTTCATCACTCACTAAATAAAATAACAAAATATGTTGACAATTGAAAATATTTAAATCAGATATTTTAATATCATTGTTTAATAAACAACTTAACAGAAAATATTTAATGACTAAATTATCTATTACAAACTGTATTCTGGGCATGAATAACAAGTAAATAAGCTTTAATACTATTTATAAGCTTGTACTGCAGTGGCAAACAGAAGCTGCGGAGCTGCACCAGATTGTGCTGTTGACTCTGAAAAATAAAAATTCAATATAATTTTTGATAAAAGATTGCTTTTTATCACACTTTATGCAGTGGATATAGCTCATCGATAAGATATTGTTTTCATATCCACGGTTGTGATGTCACAATGGTTTTTTGTGGATTTGATCAAGTCAAATATCGTGGATTTACATCTATAAAACTGTATAAAACATGAAACAGCTACATGTATGTGTAAAACATGTGATAAAAAGAATCTCCCATGGTTTGTGTTTGGATATGATTTTTTATCCAACTTGTGTTTTTATCCCTTCCCCTTAAACACAAAATCATATCCAAACACAAACCATGGGAGATCCTATATTTACACGCAAGTAGTTATGAACTCAGTATACCTGCTTTCTTTGGCTGCTTTGGAGCGGTGTACGTCAGGGACTCATTCCCACCCTGACTTCCTCCTCCAAACAAAGAGGCCAGTTTAGATCTGAATTTGAAAAAAAAAATTTCTTATTTTATTTAAAATCAAAGACCATCAATAATCATTACAAACCTTATTGCTTAATACTGATCTGCAACTCATCTATCATAAGAAAGGATGAAATTTTGCTACCGTCCACTATTCTAAGATTGGACAATTTTGAAAAATTTCAATATCTTTTTGCCTACTCAAGTTTATGGTATTTTTACTTAGCTGCACAATGGCATATCAGAATAATTTCCTTGAATTGTTAAGATATCTGTTGACAAAAGAACATTAAACATGTTTTCAATAGCTACACGTAGCATGAAATATCCCTTATTATAAATATTAATTCATTTTCAAAATGCACTCGCTCAGTCGATGGAATTTATAAAGATGTACCATTGGAACTTTCTGTATGAAGTCAAACGATCTGATGTAATTTTGCTTTAAACATCCAATATTAAATTTTAAAAATAAACTTGTGTATTTTCCTAGTCAATGCTCAGATTAGCTGCAGAACTGTAGCTCTCTGCTTGAGAAAATTCGGACAGATAAAGCAGAGAGCTACAGATCCAAGTGTTGTAAAAACCTTTAATTTACGCCGCCACTTTTTTGTCACTCACTTCGGGTATTATTTCTTGTATTTTGTGCTTTCCCCCGCTTTAAGAATGGTATCCGATAATTAACCATATATTTTACTCCTATTCTTGATACTTTATTTACCCTCCAATGGTCCCAAATAGCGCTTTATGGTTTTGGAATCATCGGAATGTATTTATTTTAACTGATACTCCAAAACCACATGCGGCTGTTAGGAACCGTTGAAAGGTAAGTTAAGTATCAAGAATAGGAGTAAAATATATTAGTGTTGTCAAATCGGTCGATTTTTAGTAACCGGTTACTCGTTTATTTTTCCGATTGAGTACCCGGTTACTCGGATGATATTCGTTACAGTTTCTATATCTATTATTTACCTCATCCTTTACTTATCGTAGAAATAAAACACAAATGTACTGTATATGAACTTTATTTACAATTACAAACTCAAACAAACATGCAATGTCTTCAAAGAAGAACCCCGTAATTGCTGGTTGATTTTGTGGAGTGTCAAGTAAATCACTGATTTACGAATTATGTTTTAATCCGAAGGTGATTATACTTATTAGTAGTCCCACCAGTATACAATAACTCAATTTCACATAATTTACATTTAATAGATTTCAAATCAGCTGTTCGTTTCAATTACTTCCAAGCTTTAGATGTCTTCGGCATCTTCTTGTTAAATCATGTTCCTCTGACTTATATAATTATGAGGTAGTTATAACTCGGGTCTTCAAATCTTACAAGTATACCCCCTGGCAATGAAAGCTATCAATTATATAAACTGTGAAAACTTATCAAAATAAATTGTTCCTATTTGTGAGCCACTAGATCAAGTTTAATGGTAAACAAAATTAGAGAAATATGTAAGTATACATTTATAAACAATATAACATTTATTTTCTACGTATTTACTGTGTAAAATGTATTTTTATCCGAGTAACCGAATTGCAGTTTTAATAACCGATACTCGCATAGTTCGACGATTAACCGGTTAACCGGGTACTCGTTGACAACACTTAAATATATAGTTAATTATTGGATAGCATTCTTAAAAGGGGAAAAGCATAAAATACAAGAAGTAATGCCCAAAGCAAGGGACAAAAAAGCGGCGGTGTAAATCGAAGGTTTTTACAACACTTGGATCTGCAGCTCTCTGCTTTAGCTGTCCGAATTTTCTCAAGCAGGGAGCTACAATTCTGCAGCTAATCTGAGCATTGACTAGGAAAATACACAAGTTTATTTTTAAAATTTAATATTGGATGATGAACTGATGTATGTTGAATGCACCACCCCCTTTCTTGATAAGAGCGAATGGTAAGAATTTGTAACGAGAGAGGACATATTTTACAGACCCTCCTCCTCCTGATGTGAGAAAATCTTGGTCTTCATCATCAGCACTAAAGAACATGATCAAGAATGATGCTAAAGAAAGAACAACTTCATCAAAACATGGTGTCACTTTCGTCTGCCGTGCGGAAGTTGACAGTCACAAGACATCACAGAGCTAGGAAAGATTTATTAGTTTCGAATCTAGAATTTACAAATAAAACATCTTATTAATATAAAAAATATCAATCGAAAAGTATTATTCTTTGAATATTGTGTGTTTAAAATGGAAATACTGAAACAATTTTATTTATTGATAAACTATACCTAATTTTATATAGATCCGAAAACGTTATTTAAGATGGTGTGACCTTTCACCTGAAAATAGGTTGACGTTGATGACTTGATCATTCAATGAATGAAACTTTATTCATAAAATCGTGATGTATGTTTAATTCATGGTTATTTGGACACTGACTCCATGACATAAGGTAGCTTTAAGAACGTAAGTAAACAGAGTATGATTATATTCATTTAAGAAAGTGGTTCTTGCAAATATCGTTTAAATTTTTTTATCAGATAACCATATGACATTTTGTCACAGCGCGTACGATGCGTACAGCTGCGTTATTCTTAACAGATTGAAACATATTAATTGTTGTTTATTTAACACCAGCTTGTGTAAAAATCGATATATGTACTTTATAGCACGAGTGTAGCACTGGAAGTTAATGTAAACAGGTATACAGTGTGTGTATGAAAAAAAAAAAAAAGAAGGATAGGACACTCTATTTGAGGCAAATTCGCTTTTGGGGTACTGAGGATGTTTTTATAAAACGGCCTAATGCAATAAATCTTCCTGTATACTTTATTTACGCATTGCTTCATTTCGCTCCAATCCTTTTTTTTATACACGTGCACACACTTTCTTTTAATTTCCAGTGGTTGTGTTATATAGCATAAAACACAGAGGTATTGTCATATGATAGCGATACCAGGGCTTTCAAAAAGATTATAAACAAGTGGTACTTTTACAAAAATAGGAGGTACCCTTTGGAATCAATTTTAATTATATATGTTATCGGATTTTTTCTTACAAATATTTTGGGAGATACAATCATGATGTCAGCCAGGTTAAGTACTGGGTACTGGCATATTTTGAAAGGCCTGTGATACCCATCTGGCATGGCTAGCTACACCTGTTCAGCAGAATGTCAGGTATCTCGAGTTCATATCATTACGGCTATATTTTCAAATTGTCATTACCGCTACATACTCATTACCACTACAAAAAAGGTTACATTACTGCTACATTTAAAAGTATACATTTCCTCTACATTGCCTCTTTCGATGCATGTTCAGATTGATTTAAAGTACAACATTTACATATACAGCCATAAGACATGTTTCCCCTGCTCACCACATGGGAGGTGAAATTAAGATTTTGAGCAAAATGTTTTTGGTTTTGTTTTCAATTTTCATTTAAAATCTATTTTATTTAATAAAACATTTTAGAAAGTGTTAAAACCGAGCATGGTTAAAACACAGTCTTTAAATAATTGATAGAGCTTTGGAGGCCATTTGCTTGACGTACTGCTGTCTGGAAATCTCTAATATGATTTATAATGGGTAAAACTTAATATTCTGTGCCATTGCTGGCTGATTCCATATGTAGTGGTAATGAGTTGTAATCGGCAATTGTCTTTTTGATAAAATGTAGCGGTAATGATCACCCAAAATTTCGAAGAAAAGTAGCGGTAATGAGTTGAGATTTCTCGCAATGTAGCAGTAATGTTGACCTCCCGGTATTCCTAAGTGTAATTTCCTTTAATAATTTAGTAAATTTTAGATGAATTAAAATAAGTTTTTCCAAGTGTAATTAATATAAGCCAACTGATAAACAAAGTAAAGTTCTAGCTGCAGCTTTGGCATGATGGTTATCTTTATCAGATTTTAATATTGGTGTTAAAAAATGGAATACTACTTTACATAGTTATGTTAGAGAAGTTTAGAGTATTGTTATGTAAGCTGGTCATATTTCATCATTTCATATAATAAAATAAAATAAATTATATAATTCAAGTCAGTGGTCAATGTAAGTAAATATTTCATTAAAAATGAAAATCTTGCAATTTGATGTTTGTTGAATTTTTGACAAAAAAACCTAGTCTAGAGTATATTTATTATTAATACACTGTGCACATACAGGACAGATGCAGTTCCATTTTATTAAGCAAGTTGAACATTAAAACAGTAGTTATTAAAATACTTCAAAGTCTCTTGCTTTGTATTGATATTCACTGCTGTTCAAATTTTTAATTGGTAAATTATCATTTCCATCAATCTTTTAATTATTGTTTGTGTTGAAATTACATGTATTTACATGACACAAAACGAGGGTGTTTTAAAATGCATGTGTAAAGTGTTATTGAATAATTTACTTACTTACTTTGGTAACTGTTATTAAGGTCTGGAATTCCTCAGGACCCAAGGACAATTTTAGGCTTAAAATGCTATGATTGTACAAGAAGTAATATTGAAAATAAGGGGGAAAAAATGTAAAATTTTCAATTAAGCTGTCATTCAAGATGCGTAGATGGATTTAGCTCCCTTGTTTTGAGTCATTACACAAGTTTACCAAGTGGTAAGTTTGGTAATGTCTTTACAAAGAATTTTGGTAAGTGTCTATGAAGAACATGTTTTATTTGTATAACACAAATGTTTCAATTTGTCAAGTTGTAAATGAATTAGCTGAGAAAATCTCCAGCATATCAAAATTTTCTTTGATATATTAGCTAACATCGATGTGAAGTAAATCCCTGGCAGTTTCCTTCTTAAAGTTGAAAGTATGTATAACTAACATACCAAATCAAGAAAATTGAAATTTTAGTTTACCTTCAATATATGAATTAAAAAAAAAGTTTTTTGATAAAAGAATTAAAATATTTCTAAAAACTTGAAGTGGGTTGAATTCTTTTCTTCCTTTTTTTTTAATAGAGCAAAATCCATAGACTATCATTTCATGATTAAAAAATTTGTATCTTTTGTTAAAAAAAAAGAGGTCTAGGTCATACCAGAAACAAACTTTAAATATGTGATGCATGCATGGGCTTAGTGTTTAAAATACCAGTATCAATTTCAGTAATAGAAGAACAGAGAAAAGTTGAGTGTCAGGTGTTTTAACAGACAAGTTCAAATAGGATTTTTATTGTGTTGATATCAGTACGAGCAATACATTTTTCCTCCCTTTATGGAATGATTTTGCCCACAAATTTTTGAAAGGAAGTTTTGAGTCAATTTTATACCCTATTTAGTAATAATTGCTTTAAAAACTGCAATGAAAATGAAAAAAAAATGAAGATAGCTCACCTGGTAGAGCACCTGACTGGAGAGTCAGGGGGCTCCGGGTTCGAATCCCAGCCTGGTTGCATTTTTCTCCTCTTCTGTTACGTAACAAATTCCCTATTTCAACAATGTTCAAAACTCATTTATTGTAAATAATCCTGATTTCTTTCATATCATTGGTTAAATTTATCAACCTGACTCTCTCTACATCCCAAATTATGTCGGCAATGTTTGCAAGCAAGTAGAATAAAAGTTGGACTATAAGTATGTTTATACGAGGACTGTTCAATAAATTATGTCCTGAACTCTATGACATACAACATAGAAATATGACATTAATCTTGGCTTTCTCTCATGATTGAACCTTTAATAAACTGATAACCGTTTATGTGACCATGTTTTATCACATAGTTTCATTTTGAGAAGTTGGAAAACAGGGGCTATTCGAGACACTGCATTAAAAACGAATGGTAAAGAAACGGTAAACAAGAGTGAAGTCAGACGATTCATTAAAGCTGTTGTAAAACTTGTTAAGAATCCCAAAGAAATATTCACCGAAATATGTGATGTTTACAGCAACCAATGTTTGTTTTATAGACACATAAGCAGGTGGATATCAATGATCAAAAATGATAAAATGGGCATCGATCAAAAATGGGTACTGTTCTTGGCAACAAAGACTTACAACAACCTATGTAATGTTTGCCAAAATTCAACAAATTATCACTGATGATGTATGATTGACTTTAAGACGCAAATTTGGTAGGCATAATTTTGAGGGAAGTTGGCACTGTTTTAAAGAAACATTTGACAGTATAAAAGCTTAGTATTCAATGGTTACCCTATGTTTTGACAAATGAGTGAAAACGACAGCTTGTAAGAATATCCAAACAATCGTTTTAAAAAATCAGAAGTTGTTGTTATCCATGTTTGTTTGAAATTCTAACAGAAAATGAAAAATGAATCCATTGCTTTCAACCCCAAAGAAAAAAATTACAACAAGATGAACCTGATAAAACAGCAAAGGTCTGATAAGAGCAAAGAATTGCAAGAGCACAAAGAAAGTTTTATATACCATTTTCTTCAATAGCAGTGGTCTTGTTGTTCAGATTCTTATTCGGGAAGGCCTTTCAATTTCTGGACGAGCCTAGAAAGCAAAATTTTTGCAAAAAAATTTAAAAGTTTATGAGAAGAAGGAACCAGAATCAGGAATCTTACACATTAATTTTCTTTATGACAGCGTCCGATGGGATAAACGGAAAGTTATGTTTTGTCACACCAACAATATTCACCAGATCTTTCACCCTTCGACTTGTTTCATTTTTCAAACTTGATAAAACACCTTTCGGAAAGGAGAAACAAGTCCAGGAAATCATAGGATCTGCCATATTCCAGTATACGAAGGGCCATACTCAAAAATGTGTGCTAAAAACAATTAGAAATTGAATAAAAATGTTACAGACATGTGTTTCAATTAAAGGAGAATATTTAAGGGAAATCATTAAGTCAAAATCATTGAAAAACGTTTTTTGTTTCTTTCCGAGCACCGAGGACATAATTTATTGAACAGCCCTCTTAAAGTGAACATAAATTGTTGCATAATGGAAAAGACTACCAGTAGTCATTTGCAAAATTTAAGTTGACAAAAGAAGTATTGAAAGAAATATCAAAAGAAGTATATTTCATATATAATTCACAAGTCTGTGCATTATGGAGTGTAACTAATCCCATTGGTCACCTACTGCTTTTGAAGTTCTCTTTTTGGCAAGAAAAATTTTGGATACTATTAACTGTGGAGGGTATCACCATACTGCAAAAGGGGGGGGGGGGGGGTACTGGCCCTTCAGCAACAATTTCCAAACTATATGTATAGTAACAAAAAAAAAATTCTTTTTTTGCTCCAGTTGTTTTTGTTTTGAAAAACAACTGATTAAAAAATTGACCTTTGTACATTATGATAAAAAAAATCTTAGTCACGACAATTTTATGGATCATTACATTTACCAAATGATCTGTGATAAACCTATGTTGATAATTAGGCATTAAGTTATCAGTCATCCTGCATGTTTTTTGTTGAGATGGTAAAGAACAGAAAGTAAGGTTTGATTAAGAACTTCATTTACATTATTGATCTAGATTTAAAAAAAAAGCACTCTTGTATTTTATGATTTTTCTAGTACATGTACATGTATTAATAATAATTATAGTGAGTACATCAAAATATTCACTATTATCTACCATTATCATTGTTATTTTCCATTATTTATCATGGAAGTGAAAACCCCTATACATGTACTAGAATTACAAAATTGTATATCTATAATCTGTAAAATTTTCACATCTGACTTCTTCATCATAACCACTGCATGGGCCAATTTCATTCAAATTTGGCACAAATCTCTAAAAAAAAAATCTTTTCAAAAACATGGACTAATGATTTAATTTCAAGTTCATAATGCAAGCATCCTAGGACTTTTTGGAAGTCCCAAGCACTTTTTCTTAAAGCATTCTATACCCTCAGTATCTTGAACCCTCAGGTATCTCAAAGTTTCTTCTTGGTCCCATTGAGTTTGAGATAACAAGATTTGACTGCATGTATAAAGTGACTGAAATCATGGACTTTTAATAAATTAATGGCTACAGTGATGGTTATCACACATTCCTTTAGCAGTGAAATGAATCTGTGTAATGCGTATGGACCTCTTGCACCAATGGATCAGTGACATGGAATCAGATCTATTAAATAGGCTATGTACAAAGAGAATTTATTTCAATTCAATGTTGGAACATTCTTTTCAATTTATTTTGGTGTTACAGGTCAAAATCACATAATCAATCCCAAAGAAATGTTCATTAACATGTGAATGCATGACATATGGGTGGGTGTGTCCCATCCAAATTTATCTTCATTCTTTAACTTATCTGTTTTTGTTAGAAATTTGTTCAATTGTTCAATTTAATGGTCAGTGTGGAATTTAGATTCCATTATATGTATAACACTGTATTTGTTATTGTCGATTTTAAGAGTTCATTTGCATTCAAATATCCTGAATTTGAGAAACAGGTAAAGGTCATTTAAAGTTGGTACGTCATGTATTAATATGTTTTCAACAGACACATTTGGTATCAATTTTGCTTGGTACATATATACCCCAGATATTTTGTTCATTCTAATAAAACGCTTGTTAAGTCACAAAGCTGGAACATTTCAAGGCAAGTTTTGGGGTTTTGTTTTTAAAAAGATGTGTGATATATCGTTTGGTGTATATTTACGGACCATGAAAAGTATCTTTCGGTGATTTAAATGTAGGAATTTTCATTGCAGATAAAACATCCTGGATGATTCTACGCATAAAGAACTTCGCAATTAGAAAAAGTGAACGAAAAACAACATAGAGGAAGCTGTCTTAGGCCATCCAGAATCAAATTTGGGGCTGCTGGCTAATAACTCCATCTTCCACAATGAACATGATGAATATGTCAATGGTAAGATTAGTTACAATCTTCTTCTGTAGAAAGCCTGGATTTTTTTTAGTTTAAAGAATGTTATTTTATAATTAATAAGTTAAAAGTTTGTTAAAGGCTTAGATGAGCTTTCCTGGTGTCTATTGTCTTTTCACATTTTTGACTTTTTCTCTAGAACCATAGGATAAATATCAATCAAACTTGCCAGAAAGCATTCTTGGATAAAAGTGGTATTTGTTTGTTCAAATGAAAAGCTGTGCCTTATATCAAGGGGAGATAATTAAGATAGTAGGTAGGGACTGGGGGCCACAATGGGCGATCAAAGTTTTATATAGGGATTGGAGAAAAACTTTAAAAAATCTTTTTCTCAAGATCTGCACAGCCATGATTAGTCATATTAATATGGAAGCATCCTCAGCCAGTGTAGATTCAAATTTGTTCACATCATTACCCCAGGTTGTAGGGGGAACCACAGTAGGCGATCAAAGTTTTACATAGGAATATATAGGGAAAATCTTCTTCTCAGGAACAGGAAAGTCATGATTGGTCTTACTTATTTGGAAGCATCCTTAGGTAGTGTAGATTCAAGTTTGCTCAAATCATGACCCCCGGGGGTAGGATGGGGCCACAATGGGTTATCAAAGTTTTACATAGGAAAAATCTTTAAGAATCTTTTTTTCTCAAGAACAGCAAAGCCATGATTATTCATATTTATATGGAAGCATCCTCAGGTAATGTAGATTCAAATTTGTTCAAATCATGACCCCCGGGAGTAGGGCGGGGCCACAATGGGTGATCAAAGTTTTACATTGGAAGATATAAGGAAAATCTTAAAAATTCTTCTTTTCAAGAACAGCATGGCTATGATTGGTCATTTGGAAGCATTCTCAGGTAGTGTAGATTCAAGTTTGTTCAAATCATGACACTGGAGGGTATAGAGGATCGAGTCATAAAAGGTGATCTTAGTTAAGCAAAGTAATATGAAGGATATATCAATAAAAATTTTCTTCTTAAGAACAGTAAAGCCATATTAAGTATTCATATTAAGGACATTGGCAAGTCAAGATTTTCCGGAGAAAGAAGGTTTAATACATGGGTTTTTTCACTTATAAAATAGTGATTGAGAGTGATCTCCCGTGTAGAATTCTCTAAGCGGTGGAAACCAATAAAGCGTATGTTACAGAGATAAACAAAAGCACATGTACTTCCTTCAACGGGTAGAGCAAGAAAGAAAAGTAGAAATGGCTTTGTTGTACATTGTATTCAGGGACAAAGAGCCAATAGGTCGTCATTTACGATAGTTGTGCTCAGTATGCTGGGAAGGGCAAAGATGTGACATATGCTGAAAGGTAGGCCGACTGAGAACAGTTCTTAGCTAGGTCGTGTGAAGGAAGCAGCATTTAGTAACTACGAATAAAAAATAAAAATAAAACAATGCCAATATTTTTGTTACAATGCGTTTCAATCAATTAAGTCAACTACATGATAAAAACAATCAACCAGTCTCTTGATTAATTTTAGCTGTTAAGGGAAGCAACTCAGAAATAATGATCGGTGCCGGTATATCCATGTTTTGTTCCGATATATAATTTTTAGCCAAAATTTCTAGAAGTCATAGGAAATGAAGATACAATAATGTATATATTACAAAAACATTTTTGAAATAAGTGGGTTTGGGAAAAATATTACGGTGAAAAATTATGTAGGTCATTTTACATAGGAAATGCATTGAGAAGTGTAAAAACATTGATTTCACAAAATCTAAAAAAGAAGGTTGGATTGGTAGGTTAAACGGTCCAGAATATAGCCTATTTAGTACATTTAAACCTACTCAAGAGTTCTTGAAAAATTCTATACAATAACCAGGAACCTTGCCAATGTCCTTAATTTACCAGTAGAAGCATCCTCAGGTATTGTAGATTCAAGTTTGTTCCAACCCCCCAACCCCCCTGACCTCTTTTATATTTAAGCTTTTTAATACTGAACTAATTTCTGTTTTTTCCAAGCCAAAGTACTCAGGTGAGAGATGTGGCCCATGGGCCTCTTGCTATCATTCAGCATCTGACCATGGTATAAGGCCCCATTTCTAAATGAATATTTTGTTTAAAGTTCTCATTTTAAGTGTTTGAAATTATTTTGTATATTTAAGTCATAAATACTGAAAATCTGTAATGACTGTCATGATTTTTTTTTTTCATTTGACTAGAGACATACATTTTCTAAAATAATAGTGATTTGACCCTGTCTTTCAGAACTCTATCAGAACTTTAATCTAATATGTATTGTACAACCCCTTTAAGTGGATGAAGAATGCAGACAAGATGATATAACTTTGACATATTTGATAGTGTCCAATCATAATACCCTCTGGTTTATTTGATGTAGAAAGGTTTGGGAGTTGGGGATCAATATTTTATTTATATGTGAAAATTTATTCTAAATATTCTTGCTGTAAATTACGTATTAGATGAACTTTCTTAACTGAAAATTTACATATTTTACTATCTTGCGTGATAGACATAAGCTTTCAACAAGATTTTTCTGATGAGGAATGTACTAAGGGAAATAAATGTAAAGTTAAATGACTGTATACATTAACATAATCCTATCCATTTTAAATTATACTTCTGTATTTCATAAATTTCCTTTTTAATGGATTATTAAGTGAATAAATATAAATAAATACATATTAAATGATATCTAATTAACTCTGTTTGAAGAATGAGGTTTCAAATTACAAAGCAAATTCAGCTGCATTACACTTAATTATCTGTGTACAGTTTTGAATTCCAATCTATATAAAAGTTATTATAATATCATTAAAATTAGTCATAAAATCTAGAAATAAGAATTGTTATCATGATTATTAACTGTATTGATTTTGTTGTTTATTATAATAATGGAACCCATACATATGTCATTACCAAATTGTATTGTGATGGCGAGTTTCTTTGTCTTCGCCGCGTCTCCTTTGATATCGTCGCTGCTATTTTTACAATGATAACAGATTTTTCAGATTTTTTCTTGCTGACAATTCTAAACTATAAGGTTGGATATTCAATTTCGTATCGATAAAATCAGTGATGTGGTCGTCCACAATGCAGAATATTCATGTTGTATCGCGTATATTTTAGTAAGATTAACTATAGAGCTGATCAGCCATTGTCGCCTTTGACGTCACAGGGTCACGTGATCGCTATCTAATTAACTTAGATTTTTAATTCAAGGGTTTTCATTTGAGTCAATAATTGGTTAATTACCGCGGTTTATCCGCAGCAAAACACAAAATTTATAAACTGTGGTCATAAGGAACGTTTTACGCTTTTAATTTCAAATTATTTAGAAACATGCGATAAGTCCTTTAAGCTCTTTAATAGGGATTTAAAACTGTATATTTACATCATTAGGTGTGATCAGATCTCTTAGAAAATAGGAAATTGTGGAATGCTTATCAGACAATCAATTAGCAATTTAACAATTATAATGATCAGTTTAAATGGGTGATTTACATTATATAAACTATGTCACAGGAAGATCACATCCCCATTAATGGGGTTAACAGCAAGCTAAGAATTAGAACAAATCAGTGTTATTTATTTGATATTTAATGATGTCCTTTGTATGTAGGGATGCTTATAACTAGGAAGTGTCCTTATAAGGACATGAACTATTACTCAGGGGCACATAGAGGTCATATATGCACTAAATGTAGGTAAATGTGCCAATTTATTTATTTATTTTTTTTTTCTTAGAGAGATAAGTAAGCAAAAACTAATTGTCTCATATTCATGTATTAGAGTGTTTTCGGCATCACACAAATCCCATAAAAATATTCTGTACAAATGATCCTTATAAGGATGAACTCTACCAGACTATACATCTGATAGACTTTGTAGGATGAGTGACCAGACCTGCATCCATACTCAAGAAACTGGAGGTCTTATCTGCTCCAACTTGCATGAATAATTCGTAAGTAGTTAGTACCAGACTTGCTTTGAATGACGTTGCATCTGACATTTTGCTGGGAGAAGTTTTTGGGCCTGGTTCATTACCTGCCCTGATATGATCAAACTTGCATGGATGATGCATCTCAGGAAACACCACCACCAGATGATTCAAAGATGCTTCAAATGTTCATCCAATTGATATACATGTGTATATTCTGGATAAGTGCTAGATTAAGCTTTTGAAGCATGTCGTAAAATGTCCTACCAGAGTCATGAAGTGTCATAGCTCATTTCCTCATGAATTATCAAAAATCAAATTAATTTCTTAAATATGTTGTCAGTTTGTTGGTTTTTGAAAAAATGCATCATATTTTTGATATATCTTTTAAGTAAACATGAAAAAATACACAATGTGCGGGAACTCCCCCAAAAATGTCTATGAGATACTTAAGGTACGTATTAATTAATATAGATTAAAAAAAATGAAGTTGCCTTGAACAATTTATATATAAAACCACTGGAGGTGGTAATTAGTAGTGTTTAGGTTTCTGAGGTCAGATTTTGTCAATAATACACAGTGTCTTAGCCATCAAACATCCTCTTTTTCATCTCTGATTAATCATAAAACAGAAGAACAATTGAAAGTATAGTCTCAGAAAATCTAGACTGGACAAACAGGTGTCTGTATCAGAGAGTTCTGTTTCACTGATTCATTTCCCCCCTGTGTATGTTGGCTGTCCAATTTTGGGACATATAAATTGTGAGTAAATTTCATCTACTAGTCTTCTCTTCCTTCATAGAGACCCAGCAACTTCAGGTATGCAAATCTTTGGTTAAGTCTTTCAGCAAGTGGTAACTTGTCTGCATAGCTGTGCATATCTGTATCTCTCAAAATTGTCTCCTTTTTTTTTTGCATTGACATCCTCATGTAGTGCATATTCAAATTTGGCAACAAGGGCTATGGTGGGGACTCAGTTTATAAAGTTGATGTCAAGCATTGATTTCCTATAAATTAAAAAAAAATGTTTTCATTAAGACTCTGAGTTGATTGGTACAAGAGAGCCAAATTTCATT